TACAGACAGGATAGCTATACACAATTTGGATCTTTTGGTAATATGCACACATGAAAATTCACTTTACACTGTCAAGTGAGTCTGTGTTCTTTTAGACACAGGAATTGTTGGACATGTATTTGGAAGGGGATGTGAGATAGCAAGAAAGAACCACAGAGAATCCATGTTGGAGCAGGTTCCTGGCAGTAACTGTGACCTATAGAAAGCAGCCCATGCTGGAGTAGGGGAGAGCATGCAGAGGAAGGAGCAGCAGAGAAGAGCACATTCCCACAACTACTGTTTTAAGCTGGCAGTAAACTTAATTATTTTTTCCTAAATTTGGTCTGTTTTGCCTGTGATGGTAACTGCTAACTAAACTCCCTGACTTTCTCTTTCCTGTCTTTCTCTTGACCCACGAGGTTTTAATCTTATTTTCTCCCTGGTCATGTTGAAGAGGAGGAGTGAGAGAGCAGCCGTGTAGGTGTCCAGCAGCCACCCAAGTTCAACGCACCACAATTTACAGTGAATGAATAACTGAACTCTTGCTACAGTGCCAGGGCCTCAGATACCATTTCTGAGTGTTGCTCCATGACTCAGAGGCAGTGGTTATAGACATCTGTAGAACTGTAATTTGTATTTCTAAAGGATGCTGAAAAAAACTCTAGAAAATTAAGGAGGGAAAAGGCCATAGGAACAGAATGAATGAAGAATTCCTTCTGTTGTGTTGGACTTAAACTATAAGGAATGATCTTTAATTGAGAAGAAAACTGTGATAGGGTACTATGGTGTATGGGATCAGTGCTGTTTAATATCTTCATTATTGACACAGACAAAGGGATCAAGTGCACTCTCGGCAGATTTGCTGATGACACCAAGATCAAGATGAGTGGTGCTGTTGCCGCACTTGAAGATTTGATTGTCATCCAGAAGGACCTGGACTAGCTCAAGAAATGGCCCCTGGGAATGTCATGAGATTTAAAAAGACTGAATTCAAGGTGCTCCACCTGGGCGAGGCAAACGCCTGGTATTAGTCTAGGCTGGGGATGAACAGAGCAGCCCTGCAAGAAGGACTTGGGGGTGCTGGTGGGTGAGAGGCTGGACAGGCCCCAGCTGTGTGCACTGGGAGCCCAGGAACCCCCAGTGTACTGGGCTCATCCAAAGCCCCATGGGCAGCAGGGAAGAGGGGATTCTGTCCCTCTGCCTGACTCTGGTGAGACCCCACCTAAAGTGCTGCATCCAGCTCTGGGCTCCCAGCACAAAAAGCATATGGACCTGTTGGAGCAAGTCCAGAGGGCCACTAAAATGATCATGGGGATATGGCATGCCTCCTGTGAAAACAGTCTGAGAAAATTTGGGTTGTTCTCCCTATGAAAGAGAAGGCTCTGGGAACACCTTCTTGCAGCCTTTCTGTACTTACAGGGGACTTATAAGAAAGAAGTGGACAAACTTTTTAGTAGGGCCTGTTATTGGTTAGAACAAGGGGTAATGGCTTAAACCAAAAGAGGGTTGATTCAGACTAGCTATAAGGAAGAAAGTTTTTACAGAGAGAGTGGTGAAACACTGACACACATTACCCAAATATAGAATGGATGCCCTATCCCTGGAAACATTCGAGGTCAGGCTGGATAGGGCTGTGAGCAACCTACTCATGTTGAAGAAGTTCCTGCTCATTTGTAGGGAGCTTGAACTAGATGACCTTTAAAGATCCCTTCCAACACAAACCATTCTGAGATTCTATGATGATATCTTCAAACAAACAAAACTTTGAGCACTGAAAGCCCAAATGGACTCACTCAAGGCAGAAGTGAGGCACTAACTTCAACAAAAGTAATCGACTCTTACAAGAAAGCCATAAGAATCAAGAGATTGTTAATTTGTTTCTGTCCACAGGTCAAGACTAGATATTCATCTGCTAGGGGGTGTGCAACTCTTTCCCCATTAAGCAGGGGAAAGGGAAATTAATAATTTATGGATGGATGGATGGATGAAGGAGGTCTGTGTGCTTAAGAACATCTAATCTTGTTATTTTCCTAGTTTCTATCAGTCAAAATAAGATTGTTTTTAACCAAGCCAAAAGTACACCTCTGTAAAGAACTGTGTTCAGTTGTTGTTAAGCACTTGCTAGCCTGATGTGGATTAATTGTAATACCTGTACCCAACTCCTGGTAGCTGGGTGGAGGTTGATGTGGATCTAGTGGTTATTTCACTTGTTCTTTCTGGAATTTCAGTGTTCCCAATACATGAGTGTGAGGAACCAATTTAATTTTGAGCTCTGTCTTAATATTATTTGAAATTACCAGAGGTGTGGGGGGAGGGGCTGTACAAGTGCAGGAGGCAGCTAGGAGAAGATGGAAAGCCCCGTCTCCCGGGAGACTTTTCCTGGCAGCCATCTCACATAAAATATGCAGTCAGTAGGAGACCACTAAGGACACTGACCTCCAGAGAGGTTCTCCAGTCAGATGGTGAAAGGGCAATGGGCTGCAGTGGAATGTTGGGCTGGGCCAATGACCTCCCCTCAGCATTGCAGACCTTGGGAGGAGCCAGGGGGTATAAAAGTAACTGTGTGAAAAGCTTTGGAGCTTTTTGTCATTTTGCCCTGACTAGCTGGTTATTTTGCCCCCAGTTTTGCCTTCACTGGCCCACGCTCTCTTGCTGTCCCCATCCCTGGCTGGGCACTTGCTGACCACTTCCTGTGTCCAGCCCTCCCACTTCATCTTCCTCCTGTGCTCAAGCTGTCGCCCGTCCTGCCTGCGTTCCTGCCCGATGCTCTCCTTGCTTCATCTCCCTGCCTGCCTTGTCCCTGCTTCCAACTCTGCATTGCTGATCCAGCCTGTCGCCACAGTCTCCACCATCACCCTGCCCAGGGTTCTGCACCTCCTGCCCGAGCCCTCTCACCTCATGTCTGGCTGCTCGTTTTATGAAGGAGCCAGCCGTGCCTTTGCTCCGGGAGCACCAAAGGCTCCCCGCGGCAGGGAACGTGCCCACGCCACCTGCCAGCGGGATGTCAATGGCCCACTCTGAGGTTTTGGTGCCATTTTTCTCTCAGTTGCCCCCCTCTCTTTCTCTCCTTATTCTTTTTCCTTCCCCTTGTTCATTTTCTGTCTTTTCTATTCTTCCTTAATAGGGCAACATGATTTTCACTACCAATAAATGGTTCTCACTCGCCCATGCTTTAAAATAGTTTAAAAATCTGCAATATGGACTCACATAACCCCTTTATTACAATTAAATGCCCATTTTATCTTTTTTTTGCCTTCACTGGCCCTTGCTTGCCCTCGCTCTCTTGCTGTCCGGGCTGGGCACTTGCTGACCACTTCCTCCCACTTCATCTCCCTCCTGTGCTCAAGCTGTCGCCCATCCTGCCTGCGTTCCTGCCCGATGCTCTCTTTGCTTCATCTCCCTGCCTGCCTTGTCCCTGCTTCCAACTCTGCATTGCTGATCCAGCCTGTCGCCACCGTCTCCACCATGACCCTGCCCAGGGTTCTGCACCTCCTGCCCGAGCCCTCTCACCTCATGTCTGGCTGCTCGTTTTATGAAGGAGCCAGCCGTGCCTTTGCTCCGGGAGCACCAAAGGCTCCCCGCGGCAGGGAACGTGCCCACGCCACCTGCCAGCGGGATGTCAATGGCCCACTCTGAGGTTTTGGTGCCATTTTTCTCTCAGTTGCCCTCCTCTCTTTCTCTCCTTATTCTTTTTCCTTCCCCTTGTTCATTTTCTGTCTTTTCTATTCTTCCTTAATAGGGCAACATGATTTTCACTACCAATAAATGGTTCTCACTCGCCCATGCTTTAAAATAGTTTAAAAATCTGCAATATGGACTCACATAACCCCTTTATTACAATTAAATGCCCATTTTATCTTTGCTGCCTACCACCGAAAGCAAACATCAAGTCAAATGGGCTGTTTAAAACATAATCCTCACTGCAATTGTATTTATTTTTATGCTGTGAAACTGTGTAATTACTGCTTCATTTTTAAATTGTTAATTGTCGTATTTCTTTTTATCTTTTCTTTCTAACAAAAAAAGGGTGAATTGTGGTGTTACATTTTAGTTAAATGGTATGCTCTGTCTCACTCATTGAAAATGTACGGTTCATTCCAAGCCTGTGGTGTGTCTGGCTGCCTGTTTATGCAGGAGCTGTGCCTCTGCTCCGGGAGCGCCAAAGGCTCCCTGAGGCAGGGAGCGTGCCCACGCCACCTGACAGCGGGATGTCAATGGCCCACTCTAAGGTTTTGGTGGTAAAACCCATTTTTTCTCTCAGTCAGCCCCCTCTCTTTCTCTCCCCATTCTTTTTCCTTCTCCTTGTTCATTTTCTGTCTTTTCTATTCTTCCTTAGTACGGGAGCCCCCTCAAACGAACTGCAACACTTTTCACTACCAATAAATGGTTCTCAGATATAATACCTGCCTCGTTTCACGTAATTCCATCCTCAGCCATCTGTTTTAGAACCACTCCCTGCAGTTCCCCCTTAGTGGAATGCAACAATGAGATGTCCAAGAGTGTATGGGGATGTTTTTCTTTCTTTGAGTTAAAACTAGATGAATCTTGATTGTCTTCCTTCCCATTTCAAGAAGAATTTGGCATAATTGCCAATTACTGCACATATTTTTTACCCTGTAGAATCTGTAAGTGGTATTCTTCAGAAGATATGCATGACTTGTAATAAGAATGTTATGGAAAATAAACTTACGGATTAATAGATGCCTCCCCAGTTATAAACAGACATTGCCATAGTATAAAATGTTTACTGTTTATATAGAACTTGTTACCTGCAAATATCATTATGCCACTGTAAAAAAAGAAATATTACTTATTTTTTACAGATGCCAGAACCTGAAGAAAAAAGATGAACTGTTCAAGGCCAGCCCTGGTCTAGCTCTTAGTTTGTACTCTTTCTTGTAGGCAATGTCTAACTTGTACAGTGTGAGGAGGTCTCAGAAATATTGCTTGAAGCTGCCAAAGCACATGTGAAGTCACAAATGTTTATTGCTAAATTGTCTTTTTTTGCTGTCCCCTTGCAGATCCTGGTGTGTCTGGAATCTCCATTGAAACAGATAACAAAAATGTAAAAGCAGAGGAGTTTAAAGGTACAGTATGGGCATTGTTGTGGTAATTTTTAATATACACACAATACATGCAAACTATGTATACAGAAGCTGGGTGGCTATTGAGGTTTTCTTCCTCTCCAGAGATCCTTTTCCACCTCCCCTGTTCTGTGGTTCTATGACTTGCTTGTCAGTCCTGTAACTTCTGCCTGGTTTCCTTCCACACAATATTATGAGAGCTGATGGAAAGGAGAAACATTAAATATCTTACAAGACAGAAAAGTAAGGGACTAGAGAGAACAGATATAAGTTAGTTAATTGTAAGTAACAATAATTTAATGGCTATTTTTACTTGTCAGTAGCTGTAATGGCTGTTTACATAGTTATATATGTATATATATACATGTCATATATAAAATAGCAAATTACTTCCAATAATGGGGTGGAGAGCTTACAGAGGCAAAGAGGAAAACCTGTTTGCTGGATAGATGAGAAAGGGGAGTACTGTTGTGTGAGGTTTGTGAATTATGTGGGTTTGTTGTTTTGGGTTTTTTTTTCATTTGATTGGAGAGAGGTGGGAATTTGGGATAAAAAAAAAAACAAACATGTTCTCTGAGCTTTAAACCTTATTCAACTTCTTGAGGTAATAATCAGATATTTTAGACATCTCTAAAACTGTCATCTGGACTTCTGTTAGGTATTCTTGTCTTGACAGAATGCATTTAGAGCTCAAGGCAGGCAAAAGCAGAGAGAAATGCTTCAGCTAATATTAAAACTTGATTAAGTTCTGTCTTTTTATATGGTATATGGCTTGCATTTTTTCTTTTGCTATTTGTACGTTGAATGGAATCAGTTTAGCACAGCCCAGATGCCAAGCCAAATTCTCCCTGTGTAGCAGCACTAAGAGATGGTGGGGCCCATAGACAGTTATTCCACTGAGTGCAGCTGGTCTGAAATGCATTTTCCTTTTCTCCTCTAACTCCTCTTACTGTAGAGGAGGATGGTCAGGCACTGGGACAGGCTCCCCAGGGGAGTTGTCATGGTACCAAGCCTGACAGAGCTCAAGGAGCATCTGGGTGACACTCCTAGTCATGGTTTTGTTTTAGGTAGTTCTGCAAGGAGCAGGGAGTTGGGCTCACTGATTCTTAACATTCCTTCCAACTTGAGATATTCTATCACCAATGATAGCCTCCAGACCAGATGTAAATCCAAATTAAATATTGTGCAGATCTCTCCAAGATTCCAGAGGGCTTTTGCAGGCCTAGCAGTACCAGTGCTGATGCACAGTATCCTGTGGACCAACCTTAATGCAAGTCTGGAAAATACCTCTCCCTGACTCCATTACTATGGGAAAAAGCAGAAGAGGGGTGTTATAACTAAGGACAATTTTATTTTATGTTGTCTCTGTTCTGTGCACACTCCCTTTCTTCCATCCATTCCTTTTCTCTGAATAAGATTAGTGGGTGGGCATCAGTGCTGGGGTTTTTTTCTGAAACAAAAACATGTGGCATGCAAGAAAGGGGCAGCTCGTTTGAGACAGAGGTGACTTGTTCAGCTGAGAACACTTCAGCTGAGCTGTCTCTGTGTCAGCTAATAGAGACCAGCTCATCTGACAAGCCAGCTGTCACAAGGCCAGTAGCAAAAGCAAGCTGAGCTTGAATGATGGTTTTTCTTTGTTGGAAGGATACAAAAACAAAATGGGAAGGAAACTAGCAAATCTTAAGATTCAGGAAGCCTCCACCCATACATTCAACCTGAAGTCAGGAACCTCAGACTTCCTGAGTGCACAGTATGTTTTTCAAAACAGCCAGTGCACGTGTAACATGTTTCTGGCAAGGAATGCCCTCCTGCCTCAATTTTTCTTTCAAGTCTGGATATTTTTTTCCCCTGTGAGGTATCACCAAGGCTACCAGTCTGGGTTTTTGTTTCTTTTCAGAGCAGACCTAGGAAATCAGACTGAAGGGCAAGGGAGTAGATCTGTCTGTAGCTCTTAATTGCCTTCCAGCCTCATTTGTTTAGGCTGGAAAGGAGGATGATGGTTGATTGTGTTTGAGCAGTGCATGTTTGCATTATGGAAGCTAGACAGGCCTTGTCAAAACTATAAAGGCTTTTGCTCAGGATATTGTGGCCTGTATTGGAAAATTAATGGCTTACAGGTAGCAAGGTCTATATTGCATTTGTTTCTTTAACCATCTTACTAGAATATTTTTCATCTCCATTAAGTTATACATTTAAACAGATTAAGTTATACATTTAAACAGAAAAGCTATTGATACTGGACTCAGAATGGTAATTCAAAAAATATGTTTATAACAAGGTCAGAGTTCCTTATTTTAGGGGTGATCTGCTCAGAAATGTTTAAACTAAAATGAAGGTAGTAATAAAAAATCAAAGTAGATATTCCCATGTTAGATGGGGAAAGTAATAAACCCTATCCAGCATGGGAATCCCCAGCATCTGAAGTTTGACCCAAAAGCCACTGAAGTATAAGAAAATTACTGTTTTCTTTTTCCCCACTGTGTTTGTAAATCTGGAGAAGCATCACTTCGAGAAGTAGATCTGGCCATTGCTGACTGTACAAGTTCTTTTGAAGGATGAACATGAATTTCATGGAGCCTGAATGTATACCAACACAGTACTAAAATCTCTAATTTTCCCTTTTGTCTTCATTTTTTTTCTTCCCTCTAGAGGCTATTCTTAGTTGCAAACACAAATTTTCAAAAGGGATGAGTTTAAGAATAGAGTGGAAGAAAATCCAACCTCAAGGAGTCTCATTTGTCTACTACAATAGTGAATTTACAGGTACAGTACTGCAAACAGATGGTTTAACATGTCATTCTCTAGCATAGCTATTGGCTCTTTCTTGGGGAACAACATCAAGAATAAGACTGAACAAGAAGGCTCTTGACTGTTCATATAGAAGAGCTGTCATTTTGAGAAAGAGAATTCTTCTCTGGGGAAAAAAAAGGGCATTTCTTTATAAAATCATCAATTATTAGTTACCTTTTAAGTTAAATATAATGAAATTAAAGACTAAGAAAAATGGTACTGCAGATTCCTTGGGATTTTTCAACAATGAAATTACATGTGGATGTAAACTCCCCTAAACTACTGCAGGCTCTGCACTCCTATCCTAAAAAGAGGTTTCTGAAGCCTCCTGTAAAGCAGGAGGCTTAGATATTAATAATGCAGCATTTTTTATATACATAAAATATAAACTCAGCTGTATATTATAAATTATTTGTATTCTTTTCAGAAGTAGAATTTCTCTTTGCATGTTTTGAAAAGGACTTACTTAAGCTTTGTGTGTTGGAGAACATATGGGTCTCTGTCACACTGTACGCAATAAATTAAGGTTGAGAAGTAAAATAAAAGCACAGAGATTTTGTTAATTTGTAGAGCTTGCAGATGTGTTGACCTTGATGAACTTGGTTTTTTCCTGCATGTATTTAATTTAGAGAAACACTAGAACTCATGCTTCTGTGTGTGCATGTAACTTTCATAATAAGCTGTAGAACTAAAAAAAATTCTTCATTGTTAGAAGTCTGATGGCAGTATTGTTGCTAAATCCATCAAGTTTTTTCTTGCCAAGTTAAAATGTCAAATACTCTGCTGTGGTCTCACTCGCAACTTTTTCTTTAAGGTAATTAAGTCAGTGATTGCCATGTCTCTAGTGAAAAGGGATGTCTTTCAGTCACCTTACTACTGCTATACATATTTTCTTGAAACACCTGCAGAAAAATGCATTCCATCTTCCAAGTGGATAATGTATGGCAGGTGGAGCTTTTTTGAATTGAGGGTGGTTTTCTGGACTAAATGGAAGGTTCATACTGTTTTGAGAAGGGGATTACATATTGCTCTTTTCTGATAGGTAACTAACACTGAACAAATGAGCAATAGTTTCATATAAAATATCAATAAATTGTATATGATTTCAGAATAAGCCAATGAGCCACAGATATTTGCTTCAGACTGAAAGAGGGGAAATTTAGGTTAGATATGTAGAGGAAATATGCAAAGGGAAATCTTCCCTGTGAGGATGGTGAGGCACTGGCACAGGTTGCCCAGAGAAGCTGTGGCTGCTCCATCCCTGGAAGTTCCAGCCTAGGTTGGATGGGGCTTGGAACAACCTGGTCTAGTGGAAGGTGTCCCTGCCCATGGCAATGAGGATAGAACCAGATGATCTTCAAGGTTTCTTCCAATCCAAATCATCCTGTGATTCTGTGAATCTGTAAGCAAAGAGCAGAAACCTCTCTGTCTGTTCTCCCTAAAGGTGATCTTCAAGGCCGAGCAGAGATGCTGAATACAGGAATCCGAATTAGGAACGTGACTAGAAGGGATTCCGGGACCTACCGCTGTGAAGTCAGTGCCAAGAGTGAAGAGGGGCAACGCCTGGGAGAGGCTACTATTACTCTCACAGTATTGGGTACAAACTTTATTACTTAGGCTTTTTAAAGAAACTGGATGGTGGGGTGTTGGGATGTTGAAGGTAGGGTTGTCCACACAGTGTGTGGCTGCTGGGTTTTTGGGTCTTCTTCAGCTGGGTTTGTAAACACACTTGCACATGAACATTCTACAACATCACAAAACAGCTTGGCAAAAGTCACACTTGCATTAGAAAGGGACATAACTAGGGTTTTATTAAATCAAAGTGAGTTTCAGTTCTCAAAACTGAAGTCGCTCAGTGACTGAGAATCTGGATAAGATGATCATGGTGTTTGGCACTGGAAAGTCAGCATCTGTCAACACTTATCAAATATTCATAAGCAGAAGTTCGTTCCAATATGCTAGAGTCTTGTCCTGGTTTTGGAAGGAGAGAGTTTTTGTGCAATGACAGCCAGAGAACTGACAATCAGTGGACTTTATTTAGAGGAGAGATGGTGGTGCCTGCTGGGGAGCAGTTTTCTTTGTGGGTCTTTGTTTTCTTTCCCAGTTAAGGAATTGATGGAAAAGTGAATGCTGAACACATTGTTCTCACATTGGGTTTGGAATTTGTTGCACTAGATGAGTGGTAGAGGCCAATAGTTTTCCTTTTTTAGCTGTACAGGGACAAAAGAAAATACTTGCTTTTGTAGATTCTATATTTGTCCTATTAAAACTAATAATAATTGATCATTCAAAATTATACATAAAGTTTATAAGTTCTTCATAAAAGATGATAAATGCATGAACTTCTGATTAGCATCAACAATGAGGTAACCCCACTTTCTTCTACTTTCTCAACAGCTTTGCTGTTTTAAATGTGCCTTCTTAATTTAAAGTTGAAGTCTTCAAGGGCCAAGGAGAAAGGGTGGGGGGAGGGCATGTGTTGCTTACTAACCTTTTTGAAAGTTAATATGAATTAGTATTTTATTTGGTTTTCTTTATTTCTGCTTTTTATCTTAAAATTAACCAAGAAAAAATTATCAATACTAGTTAAGGTGTCAGTTGTTCTTTAAATGTTCCATGGATGCCTCTTCACCATTATTTTTCCTCTATATAATGTTAAGTACCAAAAAATTAAAAAAATAAGTTTCTTTTTTGTTCACATATTAAAAATCAAAAAAGAGATGTTCATCTTCATACGAGAAGGAACAAACAGTTCTCCTGCATATGTGTGGGGTAATGTTAATTTTTAATTTAAACTGGAATGTAGTAAACAATTAGTTTTGTTCCTCAGACTGGGGTTTATAAAGTGCCTATGATGACTGCTGATGTCTCGGTGAATGTTACTGACATTCACTACTCAAACATTTACTCCTTTTAATACAAAACCTCTTTTTGCTCTTCCTCACTTCCATTTTTAAATACTAGGGTAGGGAAGGGGCCAATTGCTGGACTACAGATTCCAAGTTATCCCATCTCTGTCTGTGAACAAGAGGTTGCACACAAGAAAGAAAGTGAAACAAACTCTCTGGGGTTGGATGAAAATGAGCAGATTGGAGACAGGATGACACAGCATATGGTGGGGGAAGGCTGGCAGTAAGCACCTCTTTCATTTTTAGCAACTCATAAATTTTACTGTGCTCTCAGTAGCAGGATTGTGCCTTCCAGCCCTTCTCCTACACTTCATTTCATTGATGTGGTAGTTATCAAACGTGCACAAGTGCTCACCTCCTCACAATGACTGTCAGACTGCTGTCATGTTGTCATGATCCCATTAGTAAAGTTCTTAGAAATGCCTCTGCCCAAATCAAGGCGCAAATGAGACCATATATCAGTGACAGTAGTATGGGTTCATTTAATAGTAAATATATGAGAGAAGGAGAGAGAGAGAAATAAGAAATAGGTGGGAGGGACAGAGAGTAACAGGGACAGAATAAGGAAAATTATTCTTTTTTACCACCACTCCAGAGATCTCAGTGATGTTTCACTGATCCTCTCTAGCTGGTCTTCTTGGTGGTGAAGGTCCCCACTGAAAGCACAGAATCTGATTGGTTAATATACACTCAGGCTAGGTAGGAAAATCCAGGCTTCTCCCTTGGGGGGCAGGGGGAGTTTGCCACTGTCTCTTACAACAGACTGGGTTTGTTGCATCACGTGCAGTCCTGTGGTACAAGGCTTCAGGAATGACTCTGAATGAGCACTTCAGGGGGCCTTTGATGGATTAAGGCACCCCCTCAGCTGCCTCCCACGTGAATGTCCTGTGGATGTGGCCTTCCCAAGGTAGGGGGTTCCATAGCCAGGTTGTGTAAGGAGGATGGGTTCCCTGCCCCTGTGCAGAGGTTACAACACGCCAAAACCTCCTCCCCCACCTTGGCTGGGGGGGAAATCTGTGCAAACCCACTCCCAGCAAATGGGCCAGTAGGCTACTGTGACAGCTATAGCTGGTCTATAGCTGCACAGATCATTAGGCCATAAGAGACACCAACTCAACCAGCCTAGCTCGTTAGAGAATAAGGAGTAACAAGTGCCCAGGTTTTAAGTTGATAGGCTGAATTCAAGTTCAAACAAGGGGATCCCAGCCAATCCCTTTGAACCAGGAATGCATCCATATCATTGGCCAGTGAGCAGAGTTAAGACCTTTGACCAATAATATCTGTAAGCGATGGGAATTTCAAAGCCCGCACAAAGAGGGCACACATCAATAAACTCTGGCTGTTGCTGCATGAACCTCAGTGTGTGTATGTTGCATTCCTGTCTCCCCCTTCAGTGACAGGCTACGGCCTTCCTCATCCCAGAGCAAGCCGGAGATCATTCTTAGCACGGCTGCTGGGTTTGGCTCACATTCTTTTCCTTGTTTACTTACTTGTTTCAGGGTATTGAAGAATGAGTTTTCACTTTATTTAATCTCACCACTTTGACTTCCAGTCCAAAGTCCAAGTCAGGTATCTTCAGGGAGTCTTCTTTGGTTGTAGCTTCTTTATACAGTTTTTGTTATAATGGGCAAAATTTTATATCAATGTTTGAGGCATGAACTATTTCAGACTCTGACACGTGGACAGTATAAGTACATGTGTAACAAGTTCGATTTCACTGTCCAGTTGCTCCGACTACTCCAGTGTGTGAGGTACCCAGCTCCGCAATGACAGGAACGGTCGTGCAGATGAGTTGTAAGGAAACTGAGGGCTCCCCTCCATCTGAGTACCAGTGGTACAAGAATGGTGTTGCCTTGCTGGAGAAGACAGGAACAGGCAGTGCTAGAGCAGCAAACATAACTTACACCATGAATAGAAAGTCTGGCACTCTGGTAAGTCTAATAACCAACTCTGTCATAGATAACTATCAAGGAGACCAAATTTACTGTTCAGTGAAGTGATGCATGGGGGTCTAAATCCAAAAATTCACAGGGTCTTTGTTGGAGGTCAGTGTCATGCTGCAATGTGCTGAGAAATGTAGAAGGTGGTTTCTGTCTCAAACCAGTGACAATCCATAGACATTGAATGATACACCAACTGGGTGAGGTACAAGGCTGCAGTAGTGATAACTGAGAATCTAGAAATATATGACAAATTTTACCTTGTCAGTTGGTAAACTAGTGCCAGGTGAGAATGAGGTTTCAGTATGGCAGCAGAGATATATTTGACAGAACCTTAAAATTTGGAATAGTAGCTTCATAGACTTCAAGGGGAGTGCAGCACTCAGGGCAGTACAGGATCTCTGAAATCCAGTGCAATTCACAAGTTCCCATCCAGGACCTGTGAAGTCAGAGGGGATGATTTGGGACTGTAAGTAAGCTTAGTTCTTCATTTTAGTTGTAGTTTGTTTCGTGGGTTGTGGTGTTGGGTTTTATTTTCCTTCAGAGCTGGCTGTCTCTCTCATTCTTCCCCCATTAGCTGATCCTTCAAAAGAACTTGATGCTACTTAGGGAGCTGAGATTTTTCAGAAGTAAAGAGTTGTTCTAAGAGCACTATTCTTGTGCAAAACTAAACATGGAAACTGAAGTATGACTAAGCATTCAGATGTTCTGAATGCTCATCATAGAAATCAGGTCACTTCTGAAAATATCGAAGTATGGCATACATTAAAAATAAACCGTTAACAAGTCTAATAATTAAGAAAATAAAAGTACTGGAATTGTCATGAGGTCAGTTTCTATCCATCTCTTTGTTACAGATCAAGTGAGAGCTTTAGAAAAGCCCTGCCTCAGGCTTAGATTTTTTTGCAGCAGCTCTACTTAGGTGACCTGCACCTAAATCGCTCTGGCTCACAAGTTCTTAAGAGTGGACAGTTAGGTCTGTTATAAAATGAGTTACTTATTGAATTGGCAGAAAGTAACAGACAAGAGGCCTTAAACAGTTACTGATTACACAGTGTAAAATATAAGAACTACTAGTAGATTACATAAAACAGTGCATGAAATTAAGGTACCTTATATTACAGCTAGCAAGGGAATAGTATAGGTTAGGAGTCAGTGTAACTTACCTCTGAATTGCTGATAGCATACACAGAGTCCTTACACTCAGCCCCCAGGAGAGTAACCACAAAGTGGGGCCCTGACTTTGAGGGGGAGACCCCACACATTTCCAGGGAATGTGCAGATTTCTGCTTTGTGAAGATATGATGTAGCTTTTATAATTTGTAAAGTGAACTGTATGTCAGTCAGAAATTCCAGCCTGTCTTTCCATATCTGCTTCCACAGCAAGATGTTTACTGTCAGCTGAAAACACCAATCCCATGGCGATGAAATAATTCACTACAAGATAAACTGTCCTGATTGAGTTACTTCACCAAGGCTCATGTGAGAGCAAGATGTTCTGAGTTATTGCACCAACAAGCAACAGATAAGCTCTATTGTGGTGGGATGAGATGTTCTGCTACCCTCTCATTTGCATTTCATTTTCATTTTTACAGTAGTATTATTTGATAAATAGTATGGTTTAGCACTTCTCTGTTGGAAGAAGACAAAGTGCATTTTTGGAGGGTTGAGAACGACCCAAACAACTCTTTACGTCTGAAAAATTTCAGTTGACAATGCATCGTATGTGTCAAGTTTTTTGAAGGATCTGTTAATGGGGTTGTTGTTTTGACAAAATGAAGAAACTGTTTGATTTCAGGTACTCTGAAATGAGAGCATATCTAAAAAAGTGAATATTATTGGAAATCTCTGGTCCACTGAAAATTGATTTCTTTGTAGATACACTCCACTGAGTTAAATGTCCATCTAAAGGAACCTCTTAGGCAAAATGCAGAAGTTGAAGGACCAGGGAATGTGACTAGGGAGCTGTTACAGGGTTGTAATGGACCAGAATTTCTTACTTGCCATCAGGGTTTTTTGGGTTTCCTTTGTTTAAAACAAATTGACATGTCAAAATTTCTATCCTACGGGATTTTCCCCCCCGTTCTGATAATGGTTTTGGACTTTTTCTTAACAGTTGTTTAATACAGTTACAAAGAATGACACTGGAGAGTATTTCTGTGAAGCCTCCAATGGGATTGGATTATCTCAGAAATGCTCAGTGAAGCGAATGCAAGTTGGTATGTGTTAAAGAAACGTATGGTGGAAAACAGTCTTGCAGCAGGATTTATGTAATTGCTGGTATAACTAAGAATCTAAGACCAGATTGAATGAAATCTTTTTATTTGATTATGGCATTTGGGGGAGGAGAAATAATAAGTTCCTTATCGCAGTAATTAGCTTTTCAATTGCTAAACACTGAACTTTACAGAAAAGCATCAGCCATAAGAGAACTTTAATATTTCCAAATGCTTTTGTGGAAGGCTTACGGAAGAGTGTGCCAGTCCACTGGGGTGTTTTCTTTACATAAAGCCTCCCTTTTAGGATTCATTCATGGGAAATCTTAACAGTCTGTAATAACCCAAAATGTGTGAGGGTTCTTTTGCAAAATATACAACTGGTTCTTGCAGATATCATAGGAAAGCAAATGGTAACAAATCCTAATAACTACTGCAGGGAAGATCCTGTCCAAGTGTTCCATAAAGTAGCACATGGAACTGCAAAGTTCCACATGGTGCTTTCATGGAACTTAGCTGAAAATCACTGTGTCATGGGTTTTAATGCATTCTTGGTGGATTATGAGCACATGTTCCTCAAGCTACTGAGATAGAATCACTTTTTGAAAACATGCACTAAATCCTAAATTGCTGTCAGCCTAAATTGTACAAAAATTTGTTAAGTTTTAGGGTAAAAATCTCAACCATATATTAAAATATGCTTAAAGTTTGGAACCAAATAATTGGAAACATAACAAAAACCTATGAAAATGTTTCTGTTTCTTGATAATTTTGATTTCCCTAAAATGAATGATAGTCTGAAGCTCTTAGTGAGTATATCAGGTTATGGGTGTGGTCTTTGTCATGGTTGAAGTCAAACCATCACCTTCAAAATAAAAATCGCCAGATGTTTTAGCAGCCTGGTGTAGAGTTTAATTTCAGGCATCTCAGCTTTATTGTGTTGCATTTTAAAAGCCTTGCCATTTAAATTTTTAAAAATCACTGCGTTTCAAAAATCTCATTTGAAGAGTTCTTTAGAAATGGAACTCAATTGCCATCAGCTGTTTCAGTTGTGTTAAGCAAATTAACTATATGAAAAAACTTGCTTTAACACTTAGAAAGACTTCAAGATGTTTTTCCTCAGAGACATATGACTTGGGTAATACTTATCTGGGGTAGATATGATAATGAATATGTATCCCTTGGTCCTTCTTATTCTTTCCTTACTTTTGACTCAAACTAAGCAGTTGATGTGTACCAAGCACTTCTATTAAAGTAGCTTGGCACATAAGTGCTTTTTTACTACTTAAATACATCCAGTTGTTACTAATTAACTTATGCATCTTGGGCCAAAGCCCAACTATAGACACAAAAATGCCTGTGGTAATTAGGGAAAAATCCAGCCAGTGGAAATTTTTACAATTTAGAACATAGGGTTTCTGCTTTATAATTACAGATGACCTCAATGTAAGCGGTATCATTGTGGCTGTAGTAATTGTGGCTCTGGTGATGGTGCTGTGTGGCCTTGGAGTATTCTATGCCCAAAAAAAGGGCTACTTTGCAAGTAAGTAGAATAAAATCACTCCTTCCTCGGGTCAAAAAATGTCTTTATTTAGCAGTGTTTCCATGACACTCTCTCTTGCCCAGAGAAGCTGTGGATGCCCCATCACTAGAAGTGTTCAGGGCCAGGTTGGAGGGAGTCCCGAGCAATTGGATCTAGTGGAAGGTGTCCCTGCTTATGGCAGGGAGTTGGAACCAGATGATCTTTAAGGTCCCTTCCTACCCAAACTGTTCCATGATTTTATGATTCTGATGATGTCCTCCTTTCCATGAAGGTTCTAACTCCATGTACTAAAGCTGGAGAGCATTAAAACAGCAACACTTTGAGCAGACATTTTTATATCAACTGCAAAAGGTACCTTGAAAATGACATGGAGATGTTTGTGCAGTTGCTTAAGGCTGCCAAACAACAACCTAGGGAAAGCAATGAGCCTGACTCTGGTTCTTGGAACCCCTCCACCCTCGTTTTGATAAGGAATCCCTAAGAAAGCCAAAGTAAAATTAAACTTGTTTTAGTCAACAGTGAGGGAGTTGGAACCAGATGATCTTTAAGGTCCCTTCCTACCCAAACTGTTCCATGATTTTATGATTCTGATGATGTCCTCCTTTCCATGAAGGTTCTAACTCCATGTACTAGAGCTGGAGAGCATTAAAACAGCAACATTTTGTGCAGACATTTTTATTGTGCCAACATCAACTGCAAAAGGTACTTTTAAAATGACGTGGAGATGTTTGCGCAATTGCTTAAGGCTGCCAAACAACAACCTAGGGAAAGCAATGAGCCTGACTCTGGTTCTTGGAACCCCTCCACCCTCGTTTTGATAAGGAATCCCTAAGAAAGCCAAAGTAAAATTAAACTTGTTTTAGTCAACAGTGCCTGACCAACTAAGTTTAGATGAAAGGGAAACTAGATTAACTGTCTTCTTCCTCTGGGTCATGGAAAAAGTTTGCTTTTAGGGATTGTTGCATAAAGCTTGACATCCAGCAACCCTCTCTGTAGCGTTTACATTGGTTACCTATAGGCTTAAACACAGCAAAAACAGTTGCCAAACATTGGGGTCTGAAAAGGTCAGCTGCCTGAAATTACCAGAGGCTACAGAGCTGCTTGTTAAAGTTCACTTGGAGTTTCATTTCTACCTGAAACCTAATCTTTCTTCAGCCTAAACTCACTACACCAAAAAGAGACATTTGGTTCAGGAACTCCTTCTAGAAACTGAAGAGCTGAATATTCTAGGAATAACTATTTTAAAGAACTTTAAAACAGCTAAGGAAACTGTTCTTGTGCTAATTCTTTTTTTTTCCTTTCTTTTTCAGAGGAAAGTTCTTCCCAGTAAGTATGCAAGTAGTACATAAATCACTGCAAACCTCATTTACATTTCAGATGATTTAGTAACTATAATGATTTTTACAGCCTTTGTAACATGATTTTTGTGCAATAGCTTTCTTGACGCTGAGATAAACCTGATTCTACACTCTAGCTGGTTTCCTTAATAAAAACCAGTGTGCTGGTCAGAAAGTGAATCATTACATTACTGTGGTAAATACACAGAGATGTGTCTTTTTACACAGTTACAGCTTACACTTCTAACTCAGCTGTTCATGTGTCTCCTCTTCAAACTAGACAAAAGACAATCAGAACCAAACTGAACTGCTCTCATATCCATATCTACAAGTCATTTCAGAAAGTGTTCTGTAAAAATATAACTGGTAGAAACTTTCTGACAGTGCCTGGTCTATTACTTTGATATGGATTTATTTCACTCAAATTTTGTAATAGTAAGTCAGAATTCCTCAAGCTATTTTAGTTCTGGCCATGAGCTAGACAAAACGTGTAACTGGAAGACTTGGAAAGATGAGCTAGAGAAGGTGTTTGGCAGTGGTTTATGAGATAATGACTGATATCTAAAAGCATTCAATGGATTTGTTATTTTTAGTTTTTTCTAAGAGGAGGGGAAAAAATCCCTGAGGATTTCTGGAAATCTGGAAAAATGCATTCATATATCAGGTTCCAAAGGGGTAAACCCAGCACCAGAAAAGTCGCTATTTAACCAATATTCCTTTCCTGCTCTGTTAACAGAAAGAAGACGAACTATCAATCTACAAGTGAAAAGGCAAGGCTTTTGTGTTCACTAGTGTGTTTTAAAAGCTTTAAATATCTTCAAAGTTCCTTAGATCTGTAATGTCTTTCCATATATACACAAACTCCTCACTCCTGCTGTGCCCGTACCTGGCGACACTTTATCTGTCTGCATTTACAGCTTCCTATTGCATGGTCTTAAGTGCAACACATCATTTCAGCTTTTCACATTGGTGCAAAAGGAATAAAACTTCAACTAGGAGTGACTTAATATCACTATCTACAGTTTAAGGACAAGAGGAGTTAAAGTAGCATGAGTAATACTGATGTAACTTTAAAGGATCCCTGAACACCACCCATTTTCTTAATCAAAACAAAACATACTAAATTGCATAAGCTTAATCCTTGACCTAGTATGTATATAAGAAATTTCCTGAAACCAGCTATCTGTTTGCTCTAAGTGAGAAAGATAAAGCTTTGAAAAGCTATGGTATCTGTTTATCATTGTTAATACACTTAAAAATCAGATGCTCTGAACAGAGCTGTTTGATACCTGTATTTATGAATAAATATGAATACAGGTTGCTACTTCTGTGTAGAGTGCATTTTGTAGACCTCCTGTCTCAGAAAAGAACATTTACTAACAGTACATCAGACACATTTCTTGTCAAGCTCAGTGCCTTAGTTTCTTCTGAAATGTACACTAAATATTAACCTGCTTAAAATCTTTGAACTATTATTTATTGTAACCTTGTTTCCTCCATTTAGGATTTCAAGCATACCAAGTCCTTTGTCATTTAGAAGATTTCAGCCTCTGTGAGGGACATCAAATTACTACTTGTTATACAAAAGTATCAATGTCCTGGTTTCAGCTGGGATAATTTTCTTCATAGTAGCTGTGTTTTGGATTTAATATGAGAATAAAGTTGATAACACACTGATGTTTTAGTTGCTGCTGAGTAGTGCTTACTCCAAGTCAAGGAGTCCTCAGATTCCCATGGTCTTCCAGTGAGGAGGTGCAAAAGAAGCAGGGACAGAGCACAGCTGGGACAGCTGATCTGAGTTGTCCAAAGGGATATGCATAGAATCACAGAATCATCAAAATAAGCTGAGTTGGAAGGACCCATCAGGATCATGAAGTCCAACTCCTGGCCCTGCACAGGACACCCCAAGAATCACGTCATGTGCCTGTCACATTGTCCAAACACTTCTGGAACTCAAACAGGCTTGGTGCTTGGTGACTGCCTCCATGCCAGAACATCACACCAGTATTTAAACTGGGGAAGTTGGCCAGGAGGAGCCAACTGCTGCTGGAGACAGGCTGGTCATCAGGCAGAGAGTGGTGAGAAACTGTTGTGCATCACTTGCCTTTCTTGGGCTTTACTCCTCTCTCTCCTTTTCACTACAATTCATATTACTGTTGTTATTATTGTCATTAGTATTATTAGTATTTTATTTTACTTTGTTTCAATTATTAAACTTTGTTCTCTCAACCCACCAGTTTTACCAATTTTTTCCCTAGTTCACCCACTGGGCTGGGGTGGGGACAGTGAGCAAGCAGCCACATGGGGCTGAGCTGCTGGCAGTTCTTTTTGGCACCCAACGTGTGACTTGAAAGGTTGAGATAAAAGCAGATCTGACTAGAGCATGTTAGAACAAGTTTGTTACAAGCCTTCATTGTATTGGTTTAATAGTTTGCTGGCCACCATATTGATTAATTTGCTCTAGGCCTGGGCTAAGGTTATCACTGTGTTGTTCTGTGTTGTACTGGCTTGTGAAATGATAGATTGGCTGGTCATGAGCCTGCCTGGTGTGTGTCCCCACTGTCCTTTGGGAGCCATCTGGTGGAAACTATCCACAGTTACATCTACTGCCTTTTACCCTCAGAGAGCCAGCCCACGCCAAAAACACCTTCCTTCCCCTCCAGGATGATTACAATAGCATTTGAGAATTTTAAAGACTTTGCATATCCTGTGACTACCCTTGAAACCAACGTGGTCCTTTTGGTAACAATCAGTATGTTGTTGCATATGGTTCAGGCCTTCTTTAGGGTTAAGAAAAGATCTGTGGAAACCAAAACCCCACCAACATGTACTGTACCTACACAAACTTCAGTAACAGGCCAACCAGAGGCAACCACTCAATCCTTATTCCTGAGTAAGCTGAAGGATATACACAAATATTTCAGCTGTTGTCCTGATGAGCATACTACCACCTAGCTGTTCCAATGCTGGGATAATGGGACTAACAGATTTGAATTAAAGGGTAGGAATCACTTTGTAAGAAAACAAGCATTGACAAGGTGATTGCAAGCGAGACACAAGTCCCCAGCTTCTGGAAGTGAGTCCTGTCAAGCCTGAAGGAAAGATATCCTTACAAGAATGATACTACATGTCACCATGCAAGTGGAAAGACATCCAATACTTGAGGGAATTGGCCATGCTAGAGATTTATTTTGACCTGGACAATACAAGGTTCCCCACAGATCCAGACCAATTCCTCTGCACATGACTCATGTAGTAGAAGTTTGTAGAGTCTACCAAGAGTACACACCAACCCACTGGCAACATTAATCTGAGAAGACATCACACCACCATCTGTGGACACAGTGGCTTGCCATCTCTGGGAATTTGAAGAAAACCTCTCTTCCTCTCTCTATCAGATAAACTGTCCCAGGAGTTTCAGCAATTCAAGAGGTTATGTTCTATTCCTCATCTCTACAGACCCATGCTAATGACAGTAAGTGTTGGCTCAAGAGGGAGGATATGGAAGGTACACACCATGGGATACTCTGTGAGTTTAGCTGAGAGACCACAGAGAAGGCATGAAGAATTGGGATGGGAGACCTACCTTGACCCTAGAGACATGAATTGTAAGGTAAACAATCCCAAATGGGGGTTCTTCCAGGAAAGCTGCTACTCCCATCTCCAGTGGATGGTTTCCCAGATTCAGAAGAATGATTTCACATGGGGCCCTGAGCAACACCAAGCTTTTGACAGAATAAACTAGAAATACTTGGAAAACACTCACAGACACTTGGGCCAAGAACGTGGCATTTAGTGGGTATATTGTATCATGCACCAGCTGAGAAAACCACATGGATCCAATGGACTGTGAGACTACACTGAGAGCAATGGCCAGGGGGAACCTTCAAACATTGGGATGCACATCAGCAAAGGCCACCTTGGTGAGTCAGCACTATCCCAAGTCAGTACTTATCCCAAGTGAGCTGCCTCTGCCCAATCAAAACTTTTACTGTAGAAGAGAATAAAGTTCCTGTAGTGCATGTGAAAACTGTCCTGCAGAAGACAGTCTGAGTTGTTCCTACCTTGGACAAACTTTTCTGTGGGATAGTTTTTGCTGAAGGACTTGGGCACGCTTGTTAAGACAGGAGGATGGGCAAGTCTGGTTTGTGCCTTGAGTGGATTTCATTGAATAGCCAGTGCATTGTGTGATGTTAATTGCTGTGTAATGGTGTGTATTAGTACTTCTAAAACAGCTGCATGCCCACGATTGCACTGGGCACCTCATGGTGCCTGTTTCCACCCCTCCAGCTTTGGGGGTCTGAACCCAGCTGCCCTTAACTGCCATATTAAGAATGAACTTTGCTGTTCTGGACAAGCAGAGCAGTGATGCAATCAGAACTGGCTTCAACGTGCAACAATCCAACACCAGACACCCTCTTTCCTGCGACTGTCATAAGCCAAAAGTCATGGACTGAATGAATCCAAAAGATTTCTACGGGGATTGTCTGTAGATTAAGGAAATGGTATCTGTGTGTGCATCTATAAAAAGATGGGAAGGTGCTGGTATATTGGGAAGTGTGGGATCCTGCGTGACAGAAATGGTATGGAGTAAGCAGCTGATACTTTTCTGGTTTCATCTGGGAGTTAATTTTCTTCCTAGTAGCTGGTACAGAGCTGGATTTTTTTAATTACTGTTACAGTAATGTCAACAACACAGTAATGTTTCAGTTGTTGCTCAGCAGTACTTATCCCAAATCCAAGACTTTTCAGTGTCTGATGCTCTGCCAGTGAGAAGATGCTCAAGCCATGAGGGAACAGGGCCAGGACCCTGACCTGAACTGGGCAAAGGGATAAAACATGATGCCCAGTATTTAAACTGGGGGGAAGTTGGCTGGGAGGGGCCTTTGCTGCTGGGGAACAGGCTGGGCATCAGTCAGCAAGTGGTGATGAGCACTTGTGCTCTGCATCACTTGTGCTTCTCAGGTTTTCTTTCTCTCTCTTTTTCTCGTATTTTTACTTTGGTTCAATTATTTAAGTGCTTTATCTCAACCCAGTAATTTTGTTTCCAATTCCCTTCCCTACAGTAGGGGGAGGGGATGGGGAGTGAGCCAGAAGCTATGGGATGCTTAGGTGGGGTTAAACCACGACATCAAGGGATCTTTTGACCTCTGCTCTGTAAATATTGTTTCCATGTCTTACATGCTGACAATAGAAACTGCCAATAGTCAACCTAGCTGTGATGGCATTTCAAAAAAAAACAACCCCCAAATAAACTTAAAGACAAATTAACTTGTATATTCTATTTAGTTCTGTGTGAAAGCTTCTCATTTTGTTCATATGTACATGCAGCAATACAAGATTCACTCTTGCAGCTTGGAACAATCTATTCAAATAACTTTCATAGATGACCTCACTACTTGTGTGTCAGCCATTGTCAGGGCTCAATTTCTCCTGCAATTCTGATTTACTAGGACTTAGAGACTATTTTGGCAAATCTGATACAATTTCAAAGTGTGTAGACGTAACCTCGCTATGCTGACAAAATAAATCTTCCTGTAATAAAAGCTCAAGCAGTGTTTCAGTGTTCAATGTGGAAGTTTCTCTGTAGACTGCGTATGTAGTTTCATTCTGAAGAAAAATCATGTCAATACAATTCAAACTGTAGTATGAAAACTCTGTCAAAGTGTTTATGTAGTTTCTCAGATATAATAATTATAAATAAATAGCTCCTCAGAAGCTGAAGTGTTTGTGTCAATAGTTCATTCACAGAAATTCACATCTTACAATCTCTTTAGCAGATTTCATTTTCTTCTGGAAGATTAACTTCATCACCTTTGTGTTCATTGATGCAGTGTAGAATTAGGGCATTTGTGCCTATGCTTTTGACTGTGCACCTCCATCACTAGTGTAGGGCTTTGCAAGGAACTTAAGGTTCATGGAGATTTTTTTTCTGCAGAAGCTTTTTGGATAAACTCAACAGAACAAATAGTTCCTTCCTGGTATACCATTACAAGTGTTACAATACCTAAGCATCAAAACACAGCACACAAAGGTATTTTGCAGTTAACACTGAGCAGCACTACTCAGTTGCCTCTGTCATGTAAGAGTTGATGATGACAGCCAGCTACACCCACCATGCAGTTAAGAGCTTCTTCACACCACTGAAATCAAACTGAAGCATTACATTTATTAAATTACAACTGGTGCCATGTTCAGCAACTCCATGGCTGTACATTGCTGTTTGGTGCACAAGTTGCCGAGATCACTTTGGAGCCTCCTCAAACTTGGGCTCTACAGGAGGAATGGGAGAGAGAAAATTCTTATTAGTCTCTTTTTATTCCATCTTCAAACACCACAATTAATTTGTAATTCAAAGAAAACTAACCATTACATTGGCAAGCTACAGCAGACATTGCAGTCTACACCCCCACTGACTGATTGAATGAGGGCAGCAGTAAACAGAACAAGGCTGGAGACAGGTCTTTTTCACCTTGTGGGAGTTGTGTATAAAGGCTAAGCCTCAGTAATATTCTGCCTAAACAGCTTTTAATGACACCTGGGATAGGGGAGAAGACAGCAGAGAAACTGAAGAAGTCAACCAGAACGTTACTGGACGAGTATTTCCAACATAGCTCTAAGAACAAGTAACCTCTCTTCTCTCCCTTTCATTAGTTATCATCAGAGTACACTAACAGAGAGGAGCACACAACTTCAACTCAACTCAGCAAGATACTCTCCACAGGCAAACACTGACCCAGGAGTTCCTGATGTCAAAGGTACAGGCTCACAAAGGTCAGGGCTTTGGGCACTTGGGCTGCCAATGCCTGCTGTCGTTAATACGAAGTCTTAGAGGCAAGGGTCAGCTTATAGTAAGCATTCCTAAGGTAAAAAATTGATGTTCCTACTCATACAATTACAATCTGAAACCTAATTGAGATTAGATAATTGAGGATAGGCAACAGTGGCAAAAGAACAGTCATGTTGTGTCTGTGTTTGTCTCTGTTCCTATGGTCACACAAATTCATTTTCCTTACAAAAGCAAGTAAAATTTTAATATGCATAGTTTCACATATGACACAGAAATAAAACTGAATAAAACTGAAATAAAACTGATGTAGAGAAACTATATCCCTAAAATTGTGGAAAAATAAAACAGAAAAGCCATAGATCCTACTTTACAGGTACTCTGTTTTATCTGAACCTGACACCAACTTTACCTGACTGAAATATCACCAAAACCCAAAACATATTCAGGTGTGTTCCAAGTCTAAATTAGAATTCCCAGACAGTCTGATCAGAACTACAATCTGCTGACTATGGTTGCTTGGCCTTAGCTGGCTGCCAGATACCCATCAAGGCTCATGCTGTCTGCCCTTTCCCTTCCACGCTAAAACAAACTTAGAGCAGTTCAACAGAAGTCATATCCAAACAGCTGAAGAAAAAAGATAAATATAATTTAGCCACAAAATATTAGTAAGGAAGTTACGTCCTATGTTAATTTTCTGAAATCAGTGGCTTTCCAGAGGAGCTTACAAAATCAAAAAAAGTCGGTTTGGATGATGCTAAGACAAACTGATATTCACATTATAGTCTGCTGATCTTTTTGGCAAGAGGAGAAAAATACAGAACTTAGGCTATTTCTATTTGAGCTGTTTCTTTAGGGTGTCTGAAGGACAATTAAGATAGCCTGATCTGACTGCAAGTTTTGTTAATCATTAGTATAATGAAGACCACACCTCTGCTAGAAAAGGCAAATAATCAAAACAGGAGTCACATGGAAACAGATGTGAACTGTGCAAAAGCATAAGATTTCCAGAAGGCATTTTACAGAAAATTAATGGTACAAATATGAACTAAAGGGGAATTTAAGAAACCTGTGAGTGAACGTGTCTCTACTTGCAATTAGAATTCAGTAAGATTGTTAACTCACCCTCAAATTTAAATTCTGGAAACTTGGTGAGATCTCCCTCACCATACGCCCGCTGGAGTCTTGCAAGGGATTCAGTCATATCTTTTTGAAACTCGGGTCCTGCATCAACAGGCCCTCCAGCTTGCCTAATAAACATTAAAAGTTGTGGTTAACAACTCAGTTCTAATATTTCACATGGAAAAGTCTACATTTTCAAGCCCATTTATAAATTAAAACCTTTCTAACAGCCAGGCAAAGGAAATAATTTAAAGTATTTCCAAAACTCAAGATATGACACCTTAGGGCCTCCTTACCTTACACACAAACAAGATTCTCAGGGTAAAGGTTTTCTGCTCCAAAGGAAATAATTTAAAATATTTCCAAAACTCAAGACAGGGCCTCCTTACCTTACACACAAACAAGATTCTCAGGGTAAAGGTTTTCTGCTGTCAGTGATGAAAATACAACTAGCAGGGATCAAAATCCAAGCCTTTTGAGACAAAAGGTGGTTTTATGAGGCAAAACCACTGATGAGTATGGAGGCACTCAGGATTTTAGTTTGGTTTGTTCCAGGTGTGAATTCCTAACAAAACTGGATTTGCACCTCTTCTGTCTCTCAGTTAGTAAAGCTTAACCTTTCTCGCCAAGAGAATGCATTTTGAATGCTAAAGAAGCAAAAATCCCCTCCACAACAGGAGCTTCTTGGGATTCAAGCATCAGATAAATTAAAATAACTAAATTCTTTAGATTGCCAGCACTCAGTTGTACCAGCACAGGATCCATGCTTAGAACTGGTAAAACCGCCAAATATCTGCCTCCCTACACAGATGGGTTTGTAAGTAGGGACAGACACATCTTCTACCAGTAGAGCTAAAAAGCATCTTAATTCCTTCCCAGGAATACTTCCCAAGAATAAATTACACAGGATTACTGTGGTTTTTGTTTCCTGGTCAGCAGTTCATTCAAACATTACAATAATCTAAATTCCATCTGAAGGAACTGCTTATTAACTTAAGATGTTAAATGGACTATCCTGATAATTCCATTAATTCTCAATTGGTTTTGGAGGCTATTTCCATTCAGCTTCTGGAAACAAGACTACAGAAAAACTGTCTTTCCCAGCCAAAAAAAAAAAAAAAAAAAAAAAAAAAAAAAAGAGCTTCTTGGGATTCAAGCATCAGATAAACTAAAATAACTAAATTCTTTAGATTGCCAGCACTCAGTTGTACCAGCACAGGATCCATGCTTAGAACTGGTAAAACCACCAAATATCTGCCTCCCTACACGGATGGGTTTGTAGGTAGGGACAGACACATCTTCTACCAGTAGAGCTAAAAAGCATCTTAATTCCTTCCCAGGAATACTTCCCAAGAATAAATTACACAGGATTACTGTGGTTTTCATTTCCTGGTCAGCAGTTCATTCAAACATGGCAAGAATTTAAGATTCCATTTGATGGAACTGCTTATTAACTTAAGATGTTAAATGGACAATCCTGACAATTCCATTAATTCTCAATTGGTTTTGGAGGCTATTTCCATTCAGCTTCTGGAAACAAGACTACAGAAAAACTGTCTTTCCCAGCCAAAAAAAAAAAAGAAAAAAAAAAAAAAAAAAAGGGTTTGTTTAGCTTTCTTCCCCCTATTTACAGAGTGTGTAGACGGGTAAAAATTAACATAGCAGTGCATTCATGCAGACCTTAACTGTCTGGCTTAACTGCCCAAGAAAAATGGCATCGGATTTTTTCTTTTTTAAGGGAAAAAAAATGGTATTTTATATTAGCTATGCAAGAACAACCTTTCCCACTAGTGAAACCATAAGTGTTGCAGGAAAACACACCACAAATATTCACAGACCATCCTACAGAAGTATCAAGCTGTGAAAAGTCAAATACTTCAGGTCTGATGGTTTTTATGCCAAAATCAACAGATTTTCCCCTTTTGCCATTAGCCCCCTCCTTAAGACAATCTCCTTTACTTACTTGCTCTTGGTGTTGTACTCTCTGATCTTGTCCAAGAAGAGCTTCTGGACGGGGTCGAGTTCTTTTGCCTTGTTGAAGACAATGGCAGAGAGCCCAATGTTCCTGCGCAGCTGAATGGACACAGCGGAGTGGAAGAGGGAGGAAAGCCGCAAGATCTGTCGCAGGATCATGATGGCACCGCTACTTTAACCATTAACAAAACACGAAAGAAGGAATAAAGGATTAATCACAGCGATATAATAAATGCATTTAAAAAGCAGGAAAAAAATGGCTTGGAGCTGAAACCAGAAAAGTATTTCAAAGAGATTTCTTTTAAGATATTATGATATTTAAGATAAATGCGTAAGAAGAAAGAAAAATGTGCTTTGGAGCTGAACTTTAAAGCAGAGAGGTAGTCAAAGGTTATTTAAAACAGCATGGCGGGGAGGGGAAATTCCAGCAAATTCACCGAGCCCGAGGGCACCGTGATCCCGCGGCAGCAGCTCCGCAGCCCGCTCGCTGCGGAACCGCGACTGAACCCAGACAAACCGTGAGTTCCGCTCCCCGCGCTGTCTGAGCAGGAGAAAAGGTGACAGCTTCCACCCCAGAGTCACCTTGGCCGAGCCACTGCCTCCGCCCGGCCCCGCCGCCCTCGCGGTGCGCGCCGGGAACCGCCGGGAAACACTGGGAACGGCCGGGAACCACCGCCCCCCGCCCCGCCGGGGCTCCCGCACACACAGCCCGGCCCCGCTCAGCGCCCGCCGGGCCCGGCGGCAGCGCGGGAAGAGCCCCGGGAAGAGCTCCGGGAAGCGCCCAGCACGCACCGTGGCCGCACCGAGCCGCTCCCGAGCGAGGGAAGGAGCCTCAGGGCCTTCCGGGGCCGCGGGGGCCGCCGGGAGTTGTAGTTCCTGCGGGGGCGCGGCGGCGTCGCGCGCTTCCCCGCGCTGGGCCTGCGCGCCGCCCCGACTCCGGCGCAGCCCGCTCCCGGACCCGCTCCCGCAGCCGGTCCTGACCCGGAGCTGGGCGAGATCCCGGGCGCGGACGGACGGCGGGACGTGTCGGCGCGGCGGGCGAGCGGACGGACGGACGGTGGCGGCGGCGGCGGGTGAGCGCGGCCCGGCCCGGCCCGTGTTTTGTTTCCGTTTCTCTCCCGGCGGCTCCGCGGCCCCATTTCCGTTTCGGGTTCAAACAACGCCATGGAGGCGCCGCGGGAAGCGGGGCCCGCGGGCAGGCGGCGGCGGCGGGGCAGGGCTCATGGGGTCGGGAATGGGAGTGCTCCCGCCGCGGGGAAACTCATCCCCGCTCGTAAAAACCTTGGCTGGAAGCGTGACTGGATGTGTGGCGTCTCGGGGCTCTCCCCTTGCAGCGGTGAGAGGCCCCTCGAGTGGTGTGTGCAGTTCTGCGCCGAGAAGGACATTAGAGGGGCAGGGGTGGCGTCGAGAGAAAGGCACGGAGTTGGGAGAAGGTCTGGAGCGCAGGGCTGGGGAGGAGGAGCTGGGGGGACTCACCTCGGGGAAAAGGAGGCCCGGGAAGGATCCTCTGTCTGTTCACCCTCCCCAGAGAGGAGACTGCAGCCAGGTGGGGCTCGGGCTCTGCTCCTCCGCAAACCAGTAATAAATAAAGAGTGTTAAGCTGTGCCAGCGGAGGTTTAGGTTGGACAGTAAGAGGAATTTCTTCACTGGAGGGGTGATTAGACATTGGAACATGCAGCCTAGGGAGGGGGTGGAATCACCATCCCTGGAAGTGTTAAAGACTGGATGTGGCACTTAGTGGCATGGTCTAGTTGACATGGTGCTCAGTCGTGATAATTTTGAAGGTCTTTTCCAAGCTAATTGATCCCACGATCTTGCATAGCTTGCTTCCTAATTTTTGGCCAGGTACGTGGTGCACAGCCACAGCTTCCAGTTTGGCTTTATTTTCTCACTTCAGGCTGTTGATAGGAAAGTTAAACACGTCAAATCTGGTGTGATTTTCCCCTGCCCTATTCAGTGCTCCTCTGTCTCCATCGTAAAACTGAACTGGCTCATGAGTTATAAAAGCTGATCTGTAAAGGACAGGCTATCTGCTTTGTGACCTGCTTTGTGTTGGTATCTATAATTTGGATAATGTGGATGGGTAGGAACCATGTGCTGCACGCACCAGAGCTTCTCTGGGGCACAGATAACGCCAGTGACTGGGCTTCAGTGTCAGCTGATTATGTGTAGGAGCTCCAGAACTGGACCCCATCTCACGATTACCTGATGGAATAGCAAACAATTCTACTCATAGAGTTTGTGCCCATTTCACAGTGGGCTCATTCCTTGCTTAACTCCTTGTGTTCTAGGGAAGAGATAGAGCAGGGGGACTACTCTCCTTACTGTAAAAGATACTGGAATAGCACTGGGCTGTCACGTGGGAAAAAGGCTCTGTTGGCAGATGCCTTCTTGTATGTTAGTGGAGATCAGCTTTCTTCTTGGCTAACAGGTAAGTCTTAGGGCTTGTTAGGTTGAAGGAAAAAGTAGAAACAAGCAGAAGTCAGTAGGCTGAACTTCCAGGAATCAACCACATGTTTTATGTTCCTTTTTACAAATGCTGCTGTTGAAGTGTTCCTGCCACATGAACCCTCCATGCACGACAGGCTCTTCAAGCCTTCTTGTCTCTCAGTAGCCTTCAGGGAAGGGGCAGGCAGTTCAGTCCCATCTGAACCTGTATTCACGTTCAAACTCTGCATCATCCTGCAGGAACAAACTGCTAGACCTCATGTGAAATGTTTATATTGTAAGAAATCTCTTTATGCTAGTATAGGGAAGACTGAGTAATTTTCCCCTTTAGGCTTCTATGCACTTTAATGATTTTATGTGTTTACGTTATGCTGTTATTCTGTATACTCATCTCCCTTCTTTGTATCTGTGCTCAGCAGAACCATCTTTCTTCCTCTTTGTGTACCTGCTCTTTGTGCACCTGCTTTTTGTGCCTGGGTTCCTCTTTCCTGCCCCTCCAGGGATCTGGAAATATAGCAAAGCCTGAGAGATTCAACCATGAACTGCCTTTGAAGAGGGAAGGAACAGTTACTATTTTGGAGTCCAATCCACAGGGACTTCTAAATGCCTTAACTAATTCTGTGCTGCTACTGTGGGCAGTAATATTTTCTTACTCTGCATCACTCTGCATTTAGCTGTATTGAATAATTTGTGCCAGAAGTCTATCAAGGGGGTGATACTTAAGCCTGTCTGCATTCTTCAGAAGCTGTGTTTCAGTCTGTCCCATTTATCATGAAAATAATACACAAGATTAAATGATACAGGAATTGGATTCCTGGGGCCCTGTTCAGTGGACACTACATTGGCCCTTTGGAGATTTTCACCCAGCCAGCAAACAGGTTCTGGGTTTGCTTCTAGTGGTGAGATGTTGGTAAGGTGGTTTTTTACTTCCTAACCTTGGTAGTTTCTTACAGAATGAACCACATGGAACCATTCATTTCTTGACAGCTGATCTTTTAAAATAGTTTTTGAAGGAGATTATGAGTAGTTTGAATTTCTTTAGACAGTTTACGTAGCAGCTGTAAAACATAGTTGGTACTATGGCTTCTGAGAAGTTTTGAAGATTAATTCATATCCTTATTATCTTGTCTTTAGGAGATACTCTTGCTAACAGTTGGGTTTGTGATAAAGTAGTACCTGGGAAAGGATGGTTCCAGGATGGAAATCTTGGTGATCTCTTCTGTTTCGAATATTTAAATAGTAATAATGTTTTACTTTTTCTCCAGTGGTTTTTTTTTTTCTTCCTCTGTACTTCTAATTCTTCCTTCTTTTGCTATGAATTCATTATGTTATTTATTGTAAACTGTTAATATAATTTGGCCTGGTTTTTATCATATATATTTCATAGTTATGGTATATGTGCTGGTTAGTGAAAAGCAGCAATACCAGACTAACTATGTTTTTACAGACCAAGTGCTGTAATTCTTTGTTTCCCACTTATGTTCCCAACAGATTCCAGTGTTCTACAGGGCATGAAAATCTGCAGTGTTAGTGAGAATGTCATTACAAAATAGCTCTTCATTTCATTAGTAACATCCTGCTTTAGTTTGGGACTTCACAAGATGCATTCATTGTGCTCGTGTCATCAGCTTTTCACCTGTGGGAGGCATGGGTGGAAAGTTGAGATAGTCAACAAACACTTTGTGGTTGACTTTATTTGCCTGTGAAGAAATCATGCATCTTCTCCCTAACTGCCTCCTGCAGCATTTCATGTAAAATGCTGCTTAAATTTACAAGCATCTTTCAGCCATGCTAGGAAGGTAGTTTGGATTTTCAGATGTGCTTTGCTGTAGGTGGCCTGTAGCAGCAACAAAAAAAATCTATAAATTTGGGTGCCTCCAACAGAATCAGTCTTTGGGCTCTGTGCAAATGTCTTAATAGTCCCATGTTTGCTTCTAGAACATTTATTTGAAAACAGGTATAGTAATATATTTTGTGAATCATGTATTCGCTTTTGGATTTGTTTTTTGGCTTTAAAAGGCTATTCTGGTATTTGATTTTTAAAAATGTGTGATGGGATGCAAAATATTGTCTAGTCTTGTTGGTCTGTGATTTACACAGAAAATTATTTTCTGTTCATAGCTCTGTTCTTAAGACATTGCAGCCATGACTAAGAGAGAGGCAGAGGAGCTGATAGAAATTGAGATTGATGGAACTGAGAAACAGGAATGCACAGAAGAAAGGTATGTAATGTACTGTCTTTGCTTTCTGGGATCCTTAGGCAGCAATTAATTGACTAATTTGGTTTTGTTTGTTTCCTGTCTAATTAAATGGCAGTTTTCCAGAAGTTGAGATGTAGCCACTCTAGGAAATCACTGTAGTGCTGTCATGTTCCTCAACTTTAATTATCCAAATCCCAAACTGTTTCGCTTATCTCTTGCTATGTTGTTGGTACTTTACTTTTCCTATTTTCATGTTTGCAGTAGTATGTCTGTGTGTGTGCTGCAAACCTTTCAGCTTCAGTGGATCCTTCTGTAATTCAGATGGACCTTTCTATATCTCCAGTCCTTTGCTTTACTGTTATATGGGATTTGTACAGGATGATCTGTTTTAAACAGCAGAAATGATGCTTGCTATCTACTATGCTATTGTTAGGGCCATTGAAACCATACATACTGAAGTAGGATACTCTCTGTTTTAATTACTTCAACCTGGATTTTTAGTTTCAAATGCTTCCCTTCTAATTTTCACTACTGTGTTTGGAAGCTCAGAGCGTCAGTTAATGTGTAGAATAGTGCTGCAATCTGGTCTAAGCACAGAAGAGTAAAGAAAACTAATTCTCTGTGACTAAAACAGATCAAACACAGAAAGGTATGAAATATAACCCAAAACTTGATTAAAACCAAATTAGGTTAGATGTTGAAGATCAAAAAAAATGATGTATTTTATTTAATACTAAAAGAGGAAAAGAGAAAGAAAGAAAAAAAGAAATAGAGGTGGGAGGCGGGGTCATGGAGAGTGACAGAGATTAAGTAGAAATACATCAGCCCTTCCAAGGTCCCCAGTGACGTCTCACTGCTTCCCTCCCTCTGGTCTTCTTACAGTGAGGGTCCCTGCTGAAAAGTGTAGAATCCAATGGATTAATAAACATTTGGGCAGGTGGGAGCACACGGGTACCTCCTGGCAGGTTTGGCACAGTCCCTTGCAAGACTGCAGATCTGTTGCACCATTAAAACCAAATTAGGTTAGATAGATCAAAAAAAATGATGTATTTTATTTAATACTAAAAGAGGAAAAGAGAAAGAAAGAAAAAAAGAAATAGAGGTGGGAGGCGGGGTCATGGAGAGTGACAGAGATTAAGTAGAAACACATCAGCCCTTCCAAGGTCCCCAGTGACGTCTCACTGCTTCCCTCCCTCTGGTCTTCTTACAGTGAGGGTCCCTGCTGAAAAGTGTAGAATCCAATGGATTAATAAACATTTGGGCAGGTAGGAGCACACGGGTACCTCCCAGTGGGTTTGGCACAGTCCCTTGCAAGACTGCAGATCTGTTGCACCACGTGCAGTGCAGGCTGTGGGGCCCCCTTTGGTGGGGGGCCTTTGTTGAGCTATGGCACCCCCTCAGTTGTCCCTGACATGGTTGTCCCTCACACAGATGTGGCCTTCCAGGGGTGGAAGGCCCCACAGCTGGGCCAGTCTGCCCAGTGGAGGATGGGTGTTCACTGCATCTGGCCAGAGGCCATGCCACACACCCAAACCCTCTCCTCCTTCCCTGCTTTGGTGTAGGGATCTGTGGGAGCTTGGCACCAGAAAAACCTGGGGCTGTGGCCTCCACCCCAAAGGTGCTGGGCTTAATCCTTTTGTGATAAATAAGTAATGCAATGGTTGACTCTCACAATTAAAAGGAAAATGTTATGTGTATGTTAAGAGAAGTTTTATAGTTATGTTTTACCTCCCCCTTGCATTGTTATCACGGGGTGACCTGAGTAGTCAGGACATTTGAGCAGGTTGGCTTGTTACTGTGGCAGCACCTGACTTCCAATGAAGATGTAAAGAAGTGAACTCCACCACTGGACAGCAAAAAAGGAGTCCATGGACAAACCTTTGGGAGGGGCTAAAGGGTTAAAAGGCAAAACATTCATTGTGTAGATGAGCATGTGGTAGGAAGAATCCTTTGCTTCTGGCGCTGCACTATTTTCTCTATTCAGTCTTCTGTTGTATTTTTTATAAGGTTTTAATAAACCTTTTAAAATTTTTAGAAGTGAGTATCATTTACTGCACTCTTGTGAATGTATTCTTTTCCCCCAGCCCAGACCTAGGTCACTTTAGCTTATCTCTGTTAACTTGCAGTTGAGGGCCTCAAGTGAGGAGGCCCATTCAGGGTGCAGTTCTTGTTAGCTACTTTTGCTATAATAGGCAAAACTCCTTCATAAAGATGTTTAAGGCATATACCATAACATTTCAGTCTCCAACAGGCAGAAAGAACTGAGGCTGGTCAGGTTGACTACACTTTAAGAACCTATTCTGGCAAACTGATTCAAAGCCACTTACTAGTTTCTTACTGTTCTAAGTTCCTTGTGTATTTTTACCACTTAAACAGACTTTACAGACTATGTCTATGTACATTCTGGTTTTCTTCTGTGTATATGAAGAGAGTGTGGAAGGTCATTGTTGTAACGTGTCCCATAACAATGACATTTCCTTATGCTTGTGCCAATACAACCATGTCATGTGGCTCATAGTTCTTTCAAGGTTCTATGCTGCTGTACTTCCTTCTGGCTGTCCCTATTATGTGTTAAGCTTATTATTCTTGTACTGACGGGTGAAAAGACATGGAAAGTTGCTACGTATGAGCATTTTTTTCCTTCTGTTTTCCCTGTCTGTGTTTCTGTGCTTGCTTTTAACTTGAATATATTTTAAATACAGTCCAGGCAAGGCAAATAAAATTAGTTTACTCTACATGCAAGTACTATTAAGTATTATTAAGTATATTAACATTTGAGAGTCAGTATTACTTTTTATCTAGTTTACTTCCAAATTTTATTAAGGTTTCCTATATTACTCTATTAACATGCAAGTAATGATTTATTATATTAATTTGCTATTTAAGCATTGTCGAGCAAAGCTACACCACCGCAGAATTTGTTAGTCAGGCTATTGACATCAGTGAACCCATTGGAAACCTTAAGAAGTTGCTGGAACCCAGACTGCAGTGTTCCTTGGATGCACATGAGATTTGTCTGCAAGATATCCAGGTAAATTGAAAGGTTATGAAAGATTTAACTTTGTAATAGAGAAGTGTTTTACATACTTTTTCCCTTTTTTCCATTGCCTGTGGAATTCATGCTTCATGTGGAATATTAACTACAGTTAAGAGTTTAATTTCATGTCAGGTTCATTATCATCAGACCTTTTAATATATGCACACTAATTCAGTGTGAATACAATAAAAATATTCTTGGAGTTCCTGGTGTGAGGTTAAGAAACCACCTTGCAAGTGCAAGAAGAATGAGGGCAATGACCATACTACTTTCTCCTGAGGTAGCCCACATCATTTGTTGCTGCCAGAACTTCCTTAATTCTAATCTTGTTTTTGATCTAAATGAGACGGTTTCTGTGTTATTGACGTATAGAGGTAGCAAAGCATGACTCAAGAAATTCTCCCCCATTTTTACAGGCATTGGCACATGTTGGACAGTGTAACTGGTTTGTGTTTTATTTGAAGTTGCAGTCAGATATCTGTGGCTTTTCCAGAAATAACAGGAGAATATTGTTATAAAGATAAGAATTTTGATGATGGTGCTAAAAACTCAGAGAAGGAACTGTAGATAATTTTCAGGTAGTGAAGGTACCTCCTCCTATTGCATTACTTCTTTTAGGTCAAAAAATGTTCCTGTAGGCAAAAATATCTTAAACAGAACATAGTGGCAAGTTTCAAATACGATCAATTTTTTTCTGTTATGTACTATGTCTAGACAGTACTAAAAATATTTGCATGCTTATTCAGAAAATTTGCTGCAGGCACCCAATGTTTCTAAAATTTAAAGGAAAGTTAGTTTATTGTATCTATGAGACTAATATTTTAATTTTTTAAATTTTTAATGCTTTTATCAAGCTGGACCCAGATCGAAGCCTTTTTGATCAAGGAGTGAAAACAGATGGAACAGTGCAACTCAGTGTACAAGTAATATCTAGGCAAGGTAAGCAGTTAACATTTGTCTGCACAAATACTTGTGAGCAAACCTAATCTCCTATTCCTAGCTGTAAAATTGAGAAAATCAATGAATGGTCACAGAGTTTCAGAATGTCTTTTTCGTTGTGTACTGTAGTTCTAAGAAGTAAAATTAAAATAAATGTCATGCACTAATGGTATTTGAAATGTTTTTTAATGGAATTTCATATCATTTTTATAAGTAACAAAATTAAAAACAAATCCAGAACCCAAACAACTTTCAGTCAAGTAGTATCAGTTACAGTATGAGGTTTTCCTCAAGGTTGATAGTTACTCATGTCAGACCAAATATCGATGCAGGCAAAAGATTTTTGTGTAGGTAGGTGTCAGTTTCATCCCTGTGAGGTGAGCAAGCTTGTGTGCTTTAGGAACAATTACGTTTTGAAAGTAAATGTAGCTAACTGAAAATCCTTATCAAGGTCCATGATCACTGTCTATTGTCTGTTTTCTTTGGATGAGAAGTCAGAATAAGCCATTGTGTAAGAGGAGCATTAAGTTGGATACGGATTTGTAGTTTTTATTTGTATTATCTGATGTGACAGGATTTCCCCTTGTCAAATACTCAGGAACTAGCAGCTTCATTTTTTTACTTTTTAACCTAGCTTTCTGCTTTGCCCCCTCCATATGTCTTGAATGGAAGGACAGCCAGACAGCCACCACTCTTTATAGACAATGTACATATTGGGCTGTGGGAGCAGCTACAGGTGTTTATTTCTGTATTTTTAAACAGAGACAAGTTCATACAGGAGTAGATTAGTTATCTGTTTTGAGTTCCATCACAAAGCAAATGAGCAACATTGGGGTGCACTTTTTGTTTACTTTTGGCTTCATTATAGATGAAACAGAAGATAACTTTTCTCCTTTGTATTAATAATATTTGTGTTAATAACATTTTTATATTTGTATTAATAACTTTTTTATATTTGTATTAATAATTCAGTAAGACACAATTTGCATTTAATGCTGAGTGTCAGTGCTAGGTTGAGTCCTTAGTTCTCCATAGGTAATGGGAAGTATACTACCTTTCTACTTATAAAATGGAATGAAAATAGTCTTCAGGGAACTGGAATAACTGCTCTTAATTCATGCCCAGTAACTTCTGGTATTCAGTGCTCAGACTTCCATTTTCAAAAGGATGTGAGTGATGAATATCTTTACTATCATCTTCATGTTTGTCATGGTTTTGCATGGGAGACATTTAGAAAAGTGATACAAAGCTTCCAGCCACTGGAAAGCTGGACGTACCTCTGTGAAAAACACATGTTAAAGAGGAAAGAAGTTCAGGAACTTCCTCTTTCTCTTCTGGTCTGCAAAGAGGTAACAGGCAGGGCAGGGAGTGCCGTGGGCCAGGCCAGGCAGACTCTGCCGTGGGCCAGGCCCCTCTCCGAGGGTCTGGGGAGCTCACTGAGCCCCTTCCTGCCTGGGCTGGGCCCCAGCAGCTGCCAGGCAGGAAGGCAGGGAAGGCTTCGGAGCACTGGCTGAAGCAGGGCCGGGCCATGGCTGGGCCTGGGCCACCAGGTCCCCTCCCCACAGTTCAGCCACTGCACGAGATCAAGCGGCTGAGACCAGGGGCAGCCCTGCAGCTTTTGCAGAGTGGCCCTGCAGCTGGAATTGAATGCAGAGAAAACCAAAGACCAGCCATGTAGCTGATCCTGACACAGCCCAGTCTCAGTTCCCGCCTCTGGCACTGAGTGACCATCTGCAGGCCCCGGCAAGATGTTAACTCTTTCAGTGCTTCCAGTCCTCCCGTGAGTGAGACAAAGGAACAAGAGGCAAGCATCATGTTTGTCATGGTTTTGCATGGGAGACATTTAGAAAAGTGATACAAAGCTTCCAGCCACTGGAAAGCTGGACGTACCTCTGTGAAAAACACATGTTAAAGAGGAAAGAAGTTCAGGAACTTCCTCTTTCTCTTCTGGTCTGCAAAGAGGTAACAGGCAGGGCAGGGAGTGCCGTGGGCCAGGCCAGGCAGACTCTGCCGTGGGCCAGGCCCCTCTCCGAGGGTCTGGGGAGCTCACTGAGCCCCTTCCTGCCTGGGCTGGGCCCCAGCAGCTGCCAGGCAGGAAGGCAGGGAAGGCTTCGGAGCACTGGCTGAAGCAGGGCCGGGCCATGGCTGGGCCTGGGCCACCAGGTCCCCTCCCCACAGTTCAGCCACTGCACGAGATCAAGCGGCTGAGACCAGGGGCAGCCCTGCAGCTTTTGCAGAGTGGCCCTGCAGCTGGAATTGAATGCAGAGAAAATCAAAGACCAGCCATGTAGCTGATCCTGACACAGCCCAGTCTCAGTTCCCGCCTCTGGCACTGAGTGACCATCTGCAGGCCCTGTTAACTCTTTCAGTCCTCCCTTGAGTGAGACAAAGGAACAAGAGGCAAGCATGTAAAGGAGTGACATGACACCAACGTCAGCAAAGAAGTCAAGTCCCAGATGGGAGGATGAGGAGGTGCCCGTAAAGGAACAACATGAAGACTCCAAGGTCAGCAAAGAAGAAGTCAAGTCCCAGATGGGAGGATGAGGAGATGCCTTGGTCTTGGAGCTGAAATACTTTTGTAAAGCTGTGGAGAAAAGAGTTTTCCTGTAACACATGAAAACCATGGCGAGATGAAGGGTGCAATTCAATATCAAGCAAAGGCTTCCATGCTAAAGTAAGCGGATGTTAAAGTAGCTGTGATCCTTTGAGAAGTTTAAACAGAGGAGAGAAGAATGGTCCTCTGCCCCCAGGAGAAGAAGCAGACCTCTGTTCCCAGAGAGGAGGATGACTTTATAGATAGATAATGAGAACTTTTGCCTTTGAACTGCTCGTCTTTAAAACAATACCCCATGATTTGACATGGCTCATATACTCAGCTGTGGATACTTGTTCTGGGTCCTTTTGGAGGTTGCTTTTTCTTTGTTTTGAGGTTTTTTATATGGTTTATTTCTTACAGACCAAAATACTTTATGCTCACATGCTGACCATTCTGTTCAAGATCTGTGAAATAGATCACTTAAATAAGACAGGAAGCTGTAAAATTAGACAGGAAGCTGGGGGAAGAAGGAGGGACAGCTTTGTTATTCACCTTACCAAAGTACGTGCTCTATAATAGAGTATGTAATTTTAATTTAGGACACTCACATAAATTTGATGACACTCCTGTGTCCTCCTTCTTTCCTGACTTTGGTAGCCCTACTAATCAGAAAGCTTTAAAACAATGTTTTTGTCATATTTGCATTACTATCTTTAAGTTTTGTTATGTTTCCGTGCCTAGGGATGGAGCCCAAGTTGAACATCCTGGAAATCGTGAAGCCTGTAGAGACCGTGGAGGTTGTGATTGATCCAGATGCTCATCATGCAGAGGCTGAAGCTCACCTTGTTGAGGAGGCTCAAGTGATCACCTTGGATGGAACAAAACATATTGCAACAATTTCAGATGAAACGTCTGAGCAGGTGACACGATGGGCTGCAGCACTGGAAGGCTACCGGAAGGAGCAGGAGCGCCTTGGGATACCTTACGGTATTAATGCACAGCTATGGGTGCACTCAGCTGGGGGCTGGGCTCAAGGACCTCAGAGGAGGAAACCTGTGGTATGGGTTAGTACAGTGCAAATAATCTGCATAAGGGAATTGTAGAATCATGGAATGGTTTGGCTTGGAAGGGACCTTAAAGACCATCAGGTTCCAATCCCCTGCCATTGGCAAGGACAACTTCCACTAGATGAGGTTGCTCCAGGCACTGTCTAGCTTAGCCTTGACCACATCCAGGAATGGGGCAGCCACAGCTTCTCTGGGCACTGTGCCAGGGCCTCACCCCTCTCACAGGGAAGAATTTTTTCCTAATACCTAATCTAAAAACCAAGGAAAAGTAAAATGAATGCTCATAATAGTTTCATTTAAATGAGTGCTTTTGTGCCAAACTTAGCTTGTCAATGCAGTTTTTAGAAAGCAGTTTTCTTCCTGCCCTCCTTAAAAATGCATGTGTTAGTGATAAAGCTCTTCAGGTGCATGTGGAATTGAACAGACTCTGGTATTGGGGCATTGCCTGTAAAGTTGCTGAAACAAATTGTTCATGGTCTGGAGGATGATCAATATTCTGTTAAATTAGATTTTGTATGAGAAGCTGTGCTGGACTTCTTCATACTGGAGGAAGATGATTCAGAACTGAAAATAAATATTCATCTAGGTTATCATATTTTTTTGAGTTAATGTTGTTACTTTAGGTTGTTGTTACTTAGCAGGTTGCTCTTTTAATGTTAGCTTAAAAAACATCTCTGAATGTCTGTTTAAGATTGAACTGGAGCTGTGGGATGTAGACCTATATCATGTTTGGGAGATGATCCAGCTGAACTGGCAGAAATGTACTGTCAAGACATATCAGGAAGCTGTTCTACATGAGCAGACCTGTAAAACTGGAATATATTTGGCTAGGAGGAAGTTTGGAAGGATTTAAGAATTCCAGTCAAGTCTTTGTCTTTGCAGGACATGCAGCTTGCCGATATTTTGAGCATATTTTTGATAAATAACTAAAGAAAAGGCTTTTTCATGGCTTTTTAGTTTTCTCATTGGCAAGCACTTCAGAAATAGTTTTCCTCATGTTATGTCTGTTGATAATCAGGGATTTAATGTGTAATGTTTGAAAAAAAAAGTGAGGGATTATCAGAAGCAGACTAATGCTTTTCATCATGCTGTCACATTATTATTAGAATAAAATTACTTAAACCAATGTTGTTTTGTTGAATAATATTTTTAATAAACTTTAATAATGTTGATGCTTTAAGAAAACCGTATAACCACAACTGTGGCTTCAAAAGTTCAATGATTTTTGGGCCATAGAAGTGCAGATTTTTCAGGAAAATCATATTAGTTCATTATGACAGAGACCCATAGATTATAAAAAATAGTGTTTTCTTGGTATCAAAAAAATGGGATAAATTAGACTCCTAAAAAGAATAACATTTAAAATGTTTTGTGAGGAGATATTACAGGGACTTGGGCTGAAATAAGGTGCCCCTAAGTTCTACATTATAATCCAAAATTATTTATTGAATCTTTTCAGAAGACAGGCTGTGTTGATGTTAAGAGTCAAGGGTAGTCAATAAACAATCATCCAGAAAAGTTGGGTTCATTGTTTTCATTCTTACAGGCTTCTCTGGTTTGCTGCAAATAGAAAACTAGCATTTAGCAGGTCTTTAAAATGTTGTTTTATGTTATGTTTTGGGTAGATTTTATTAGAGATTATAAATATTTTTCTGCTATTAGAATCCAAATATTTGGTACCTAGAAGGGAGGAAAATATTAATTGTTATGAGAAATAAATGCAGAAAACAGCAGCAGAAAGCTTGGAAACCACAGAAGTGGTTAGAGAAAGTAATGATTTTTGTTTCCTTGCAGATTGTGTTCTCTCAATAAGAACAAATCAGCAGCTTTTTGATGGAAGCTCACTGCTGCTGATGTTTGGTAGATCAACCTTGTTGTGGTGCCTTTTGCCACAGGATTACATTGCTCTGTTTTAGGTAGCATTAGTGAAAAATGAAACCATGTAGCTGTTCTTTGTTAGCCAAAATTAAATAGTAGCTCCTAGATAAATGTTTATACACTTAGGATACTTTGCTTTCTCTAAATCTTAACTTTCTTAATTTTTCTTAATGCTCAATTTTATTTGTTTTAAATCTTAAAATAAAAAATTGTCAAGGTGACATCTGCTTGGTATATCAGAATTTGAAAATATGTAATCACTGTGCTCCAGTGAAAAGTAGATGTCCCTACTTCAGTTTCTTGTTCTTATTTGTTGGCATATTTTAATAGTCTGTATACAATGTTAACATCCCAAAACTTGATGGTCTGGCTAAAAAGGTCATGCAGAAGCAATCACTCACCTCCAGTAGGCCAATGCTCAGATAGGCTCCATGCAAGGATGTGGTAGTCATATTTCCTGGAAAAATCCCTTCACCCAGGATTTATCTCCTGGGAAGATGAGAAGCCTCAGATAAAAAAGAAAACAATATTATCTCATTTGCTTCTCCTGTGTTTTGCTGCTTTGGAATGTGGTTGGAAATTGTTTATCCAACAGGTGATTTCATTGGATGCATGTGAATTGTTTTGACTTAATGGCCAGTCAAGGTCAAGCTGTGTTGGATTCTGGAGGGAGAGTCACGAGTTTCATTAGTATCTTTTAGCCTTCTGTCTGTATCCTTTCTGTATTCTTTAGTATAGTTTAGTTTAGTATTCTTTAATATAATATAGATCATAAAATAATAAATTAGCCTTCTAAGGACATGGAGTCAGATTCATCATTTCCTTCCTTCGTCTGGGAACCCCGCAAATACACTACAAGGGATACTTGTAAAAACCTGGTCCTCAGTTTTATTGCCCAGTATTCCCTGTAGTGTGGAATATGCCCTTGTCAGTTGAGGTCAGCTGTCCCTCCTCAGTTTTGTGTGCACCCCCTGTTTACTCACTGGGGTGGCTGGATGAGAAACAGAGAAGGCCTTGCATTGGAGTCCAAGAGCCTGACAAGATAGTCTGTTCTTCTAGATATTCCATGTGTGGAGGGTGTAATATTGAATATCAGATTAATTTGAGAGTCATTGATATTACGTGGGAATTCTGGTTTAACAGAGTGATACGAGGTACATTAAAACCCAACACAGAGGTAAGATATACTTGAATGAATACAGCAGTTTCAGAACATTGCACAATCCCAATCCCTATCCCAACAGGATTCCTGGTACAGGTGTCTATGATATACTCACCATCACAAGGTTAAGTGTTCCTAATGGCCAGGAAGGAGAACATGGGTTACAGCCAACTCAAGCCCATTGTTCTCTTCAAAATTCTCTTGCTAGTTTTGTGGTTTACATTCTCTGTGATGGGCTAAGCCACACCTTCGTAGCCTCTGCAAATGCTGCTCAGCAGTGGACAAAACATCTCAGTGTTATTTATAGTGGCTTGGTCACCAGCCTAAAGTACAAAACAATAGGGGCTTCTGGGAAGAAAATTAATCCATCCCAGACATACTCAGTGGTGGTTTTTGTCAGCAGAAACTGAGATTATGTGAATGAGTTTAGAATGTAGTATTTTGTCATAATCACAAACTGATCAACATCTTTGAAGGAGAGTGTCATTCTGTGAGAGGGGGTACTCTTTTCTTGAAGCTGAAGACCACTGGAAGAAGAAAATTCTTTTTTTGTGTGTTTGAGATATGTCAGGCATTGATCTGATGTAAAAACTTTCTCTAAAGAAAATTGTTCTTTCACCCTTTCCATCACCCCACCAACCCACACCAATCCATCACCATTTTAAGTGCAGTCACCAACTTTCCAGGTAGATTTGGTCTCAGTAACTCTGCTTCTTGATGTTGTGCTTTTACTCTTATGGAAGTTATTATTTAATAACCTTGCAGTGTATGATGAGGTGATTTGCAGTTTCATCCATCTTTTCCAGACCCAGTTCAGTGGTCAACAGACCAGGTGCTCCACTGGGTGGTGTGGGTGATGAAGGAGTTCAGCATGACTGACATCGACCTCAATGCACTCAGCATTCCTGGGCGGGACCTCTGCAACCTCAGCCAAGAAGATTTCTTCCAGCGTGTCCCACGGGGAGAAATCCTCTGGAGCCACCTGGAACTTCTTCGAAAGTGTATGGCAGTTTGGTTTTTTATTTAGACTTTTTTTTCTTGAACTATGAAACCAATTATGAGCAGTCATTTTTCCTTTACTTGATGTTGATGGTAAAAAGGAGGGTATCAATACAAGATAAGAGAATGTCTGCTGCCATGAAACATTGCCTGCATACTAAACACTGCCTGTCTTTTATCAAACCTCATAACTGGTGGAATGTAGTGAATGATTATTCCACCTTTGTTTTTTATAAAGCTTCAAAGTTTGTGCATGCACTGAATTTGTTAGTTCTATAATTAAATATTGATTTTGAGTTACTAAATGCACATTTCTGTGTCATATTGAAGTGGAGATTTTTAAGCACAGGAAGTGAAATCCTTAGATGGTACACAGCACAGCTGCTAAGTGATGCATTGTATGTGCCTAATACAGTAACATAATAAATATATGTGCATTTCAGACGTACCATGCTTGGAGGTAACTTGCCAGACTTAATAACTAATTGTGTATTCATTTACATAATATAGCAGAAGGTTTTTGGGGATGGAGCTAGTGGAAATTTTCCATGAACACCATTCTAAAAATGAGTGGCAGATGTTAAATGTCTCCACTTATAAGACCATGAACTGTACATATCTCTTGCAAATGGATGCCAAATTGTTATTTCTTTCCTCTATGAAATAAGAAAGTTTTTGATCCTCAGGTGACTTATTATTTGTGGGTTAAACATAAACCTGTTGGGTTTTTTTTCCAATTTGTAGATGTGTTGGCTAGCCAAGAACACTCTGGAGAAATAGCAACTGTTACAATTGATCAGCGTAAGTACTTCTGTCGGCATTAATTCACACAATTCACTGTGTGCAGGTTTAGCACTGTACTGTGGTTCAGAAGTATGATAGTACGACATTTAGAAAATCACTTGAGAGAGTATTTTTGCTAGGGAAAGGGAGGAGGACATATTTTAAACTTCAAAACATGACATTGAGTTTCTCTATATTTTCTTACTAGCTGAAAGGTAGTGTTTGACCTGAATTATGGAAGTTTATAACTTACATTGTGGATGGTAGATTTTTTACTTTCTTGAAATAAGCTGTCTAGGATACATATTTGAGGTTTTTAGTTGTTTCAGGGCTTAAGGTTATATATTGCATTAATGAATGGATCTATTTAAATATTAATTTAAAATAAAAAAGTGCTTCCAAAAACGGAAAGGTCCTGTGGAAGAGATGACTTGCTTAGAAACCAATATTAGAAATAATACATTAAACTAACTTTCCAGTTATTTGAAACTCATTCTTTCAGCTAAGCAGTGTCATCAGTTATTAAAATGAACCAATTTTCAGATGATTTATAAGTATCTTATATGTTAAATAGACACACTATTTACTACATCCTGTGGTTGTGTCTAGTTAAAGCCAACTTGAGTGGGGCATCTGCATCCTCCTCCACCATTGCAATAGAGGGTGTTTGCTATTTGAATGTCAGGTATGGAGGCTTTCTGGTGACTAGAGAAAAGGACATCAGGGCAGATCATGTGGGAACAGCATGAAGATAAAACAAGGGCTTGAGAGAGTTTGTGTTCTTTTTGTGGAAGCATGTAATGCACATGATGATAAACTAAAACTGGTGTTTTATCTGCAATGTGACACTTCTGCAATGAGTCTAAAACTGCAATTTTCATATAAGAGGTAAAAAGGTCTTTACATTACACTTAGCATTGTGACTTAATGCAATGTGCCTTTTTAGCAAAGGATAAAACAAGCTTTTAGATGTTATGATAATACAGGTAATAATAAAATATGCCTATTTATGTGCGAGTAATTTATAGTTGATGTTCTGCAACATTCTGTGCTCTACAGCTGTGCAGATTATACCAGCATCTGTACAGCCTGCTACCCCAACCACCATCAAAGTGATAAACAGCAGTGCAAAAGCAGCTAAAGTACAGAGAGCTCCGAGGATCTCCGGGGAAGATAGGAGTTCTCCTGGGAACAGAACAGGTATTGCCTCCACTGTTCTTACATGCTAATGCACTGAACACTGACCCATTCATTTGAACTGCTGTTGGGTGAGATGTGTCTTTGTAGCTCCAAATGTGAAGTTTGTACAGGTCTGTGTGAAGGGAGTCATAGGTACAGAAATCTGTGGTAAGCACAGGCAGCCCTGGCAGGTTGGTCAGCTCACACAGGCACCATGTCAACATGATGCTGCTGTTTTTCCATCCTGAAGCAAATAAAATGGATATATTTCCCCATCACTTTAACAATCTGTCCTCTCAAACCACTGCATAGCATTTATTCGACCTTTTAACTTCTTTCTGTTTTTAAAAAGGGAAGAAAATAAACTCCAGGTTGTAAAATGTGGCCTAGCTGCTACTTGAACTATCTGTCGTGCTCCTCCTCCGTTTTTCCCCGCTCTGGTAGCTTCAAAATTCAGAAAGTTTCATATTTCTTTTTTAGTTGAATGAATGCATGTCTGGAAAACTGCACGCTAAATTTGTAGTTTAATTGTGGAATTACTGTTATTTGTACATTCTTGCCAGCATCTTTGTTTAGTGAGGAATACTGTGTGTTTCTCTCTGTAGTCATCAGGTCTGTTCTCTTTATCTCATTGAGAATTTAGGAATTCTACTGTGGGTACTTGAGTTAGAAAAAAATCTTAATGATTGGATGTGAAAGATGCAACATTGATATAAACTGAAATTTGAGGGTTTGTTTTGTGTTTCTTGTATTTCATGTTGAAAATTTGAGACCAAATTTTTTTTAAAAAAACAGCTATTACACATGTATGTGTGTATCTGTGAAGAGGAATTAACAGCTCTTGATAAATCTGTTTTAAAGACAGATGATTATCTAAATCATAATCTAAATGATTATGTTGGGGGAGTTGTTTTTTTTAAGTTCTAGGGGAAGATTTATGTGAAATCTTGATTAATTTTTTCCTGTATTTATAATTTTTTTAATAAAAATGGGTACTGATGACTTTGCAGGAAAATATTTGCGAAAGGATCATTAGAAGGGATTAATTAAGTGAAAGTTTTCCTTCCATCATATAGTCTATGCTGGTCTGCTTTATTATGTTTGTTGCAAGTTTTTAGCCATGACCACATGAAAAGGTCAAGTTGAAGTGAAATTTCTTATTCCTGTTTGAACAGGGAACAACGGCCAGATCCAGCTGTGGCAGTTTTTGTTAGAACTTCTGACAGACAAAGAGGTTGCAAGTTTTTAGCCATGAGCGGAACATGAAAAGGACAAGTTGAAGTGAAATTTGTTATTCCTGTTTGAACAGGGAACAACGGCCAGATCCAGCTGTGGCAGTTTTTGTTAGAACTTCTGACAGACAAAGATGCTCGGGACTGTATTTCTTGGGTTGGTGATGAAGGAGAGTTTAAATTGAATCAACCTGAGCTGGTTGCACAGAAATGGGGACAGCGCAAGAACAAGCCCACAATGAACTACGAGAAGCTTAGTCGGGCTTTGAGGTAAGAAAATTAAGGAACTCATGGGGTTTGAATTGCTTGCATTTGGCTACCTCATTTTTAATTAACATAATGCAAAACTTGCCTTTTTACTAAAGGCAAATCTTCTGAAGCTGGTCCTTGGGCTTTTGCATTTGTTTTGTTGGGTTTTTTTCATTTTTAAAGAAGCTAGTAAAATAACTTCTTGAAAATAGATTTTCTTTTTTCAAGATCATTAATTTGGGTTACTCGCTTCCAGAAATATACCTGTTTTTTATTTATCGTCAATATTTATGCTTTTAGTAGCATGCCAAACAATTTTGATTATTGATGAAAGATAAGAAAATATGTGAACTATTAACTTCTTTTTATGTTCTACTGTACGTGTTCTCCTTGCTCTTGTTATGGATCAAAGCAGATACTTCTCTGTAATTGTTAGTAATTTTCTGTATGTAAAAACCTTTTCTAATTTCAAATATTCATTGTTTCATGTCATTGTTCTTATTGTGTGGATCTTAAATTGAAAAATACAGTTGACAGCCGTGTTCCAACAGTTGCAATTCCAACATCACAGTGATCTGAAGAAATGAAAGTGTTTCAGTATCTTCATTTCATTGAGATTTTTAGTTTGACGTTGATAAAAGGGGCTTGTATTATTGATTCACTTTGGGTGAGGTACTTGAGGAGGGGAAAAAGTGCAAGTACCTGAATTTTAAACTACTTTTCCCTGACTATTTTAGTCTCTGGAATAATTTGAGAATTTCATCCACATTCTTTGAAGTCGTTGAGAGTGAACTTCTGATTTCTTATTCTGATATTGTTAGATGTATTTCTCTTGATTTGTTTTCAAGAAAGATGTTTTTTGCCTAATCCTGCAAATTATTCAGGCAGGTTTAGAAATTCTTTTGGCATGAGTGAAGTTGCGTTTTGACTGAGGTCTGTGTTTTACTTAGTAGCATTTTCACTTTTCGATATTTGTTGTTTGCTTGATTGGTTTTTTTTTTTTTTGAAGTAAACTCCTCTAGCATTATATAAAAATATCAACTTCTATTTGAAAATACCTCTGTAAGAAATGATGGTAAAGTATCATATCCTGGCTTTCTTTACCCTTTATAGGGAGTGTTTAATTCGCATTTGACAGACGTGAGATACACAGCTAAACTATACCCTTTTGTTTGTCTTAGAACTTCTTTAGGCACAGTACTGTGGGTGCCAGAATTATTTTTTGTCTGTGTTTGACAGACTAGAGGAAAAAATAATGAAAAGCAAATATTTTGAACAATATTAGGTTTTGAAGGATGCAACTTACGAGAGTTCCTGAGCCTCAGGTCACTAAAAGCGAGGAGGAGCATTGGTAGATGCTTACTCTCATGCTTTTCCTTAGGTCTCTTGGAGTCTTGTTTCAGTCTCTTGGAGTCTATTCCTGTTCTAGATGGATCTTTAGTCTGGTCTTGCATTATTTGTATATTAATGAGAATGTTAATTGTTTTCATAGAATCACAGACTCTCTTGGGTTGGAGGGCTGGAGGAAGTTTCTGGTCTAATCTGCCCAAAGCAGGACCTTTCCAGTACAGCTCTTCCCCAGCCTGTATTGTTCCAATGCCATTCCCATGTTTCCAGCTTGTGTATCTGTGAGTCTGTGTACCAAAGGCGTATGTGAAAACCTTCTGATACATAAGAATTATGTAAACCATGCTGATGGTTTTGGGTTTCATCAACAAGCTCCACAGAAGATCCCAAAGGCAGCTGAAGAACTTTGGAATAATGTTCTTATCAGTGGGATATTAAACACCAGTTTGCATAAATTACTATTAGAAAGGTTTCACATTTATATTTTAGTCACAGAATTACAGAATTCACATTCATCAAAGTGCTTTCATTTGCTGTTGTTTTGACAGCGTATGCCTTGTATAACAAAATAACCCCAACCCAACAAAAAACAAAGAAAACAACAAAAAAAAACTAATCCAACCTATGCCTTTATAGTTTTATTTCCATCTTTGAAGACAGTATGGAGAGAATAGCTGCTTTCATATAATACAAACTGCTTGGTAATTTTTCAACCTGTTTCTGGCATTAATTTTTTTCTTCAGAAAAGAAAAGCAAAGGACCATAATCAGGAGAAAGACAGTATTTTGTTATTAAAGCAAAGCACTATATATAAGACATCTTCCCTGCCAAGCTGTTCTTAAACTGCTCTAGGACTTATTTCTGAACTGGTGCTTCCAGTAGCCTGTAAAATAATTACTGTGTTTTATTTCTCCTTAATATACCAAGGTGCAGAGGCAGTTTTCAACACTTCCCTTTTCTCATATAAGCAGTATCTTGGAATATGAAATTATGAGAATCTCCATGAGAAAAAGAGTAATATTTTAGCCTCTGGTGACCCTAAGTAAGTAATGGATGCGTATGAAAATTACAGATGCTAAAAGTCTCTTGCTGATTTCTATTTTGCAGGTATTACTATGATGGAGACATGATCTGCAAGGTGCAAGGCAAGAGGTTTGTGTACAAATTTGTGTGTGACCTGAAGACTCTGATTGGGTACAGCGCGGCAGAGCTGAACCGCTTGGTCACGGAGTGCGAGCAGAAGAAGCTGGCCAAGATGCAGCTCCATGGCATTGCACAGCCAGTTACAGCAGTGGCACTGGCTACAGCATCCCTGCAAGCAGAGAAAGATAATTGAGCACTGGGACCTGTAAGTGGGAACCTGAGGCCTTTCCTCTATAACCAGAGCAGTTGGATCAAGCTCTTACCTTGATCAGAATTGGAAACGTCTTTTGTTTCTTGATTGTACAATATAGAGCATGAATTTCTATAAAGAACTCAGATGTGCATAAATTTGGATCTTTTAACAGCATATATTTTAATGTAAGTTAAGGGATCACCCCAACTTCTGCAGCTAGTGAGAGGTGGAGCCCGTGACCACAGCTGTGCAAAGTAATTTCTGCAACACTTTTAACAAAAATTAAGTCTCTGTAGTCCCCAGGCTGATCAGTTCTGTGAATGCAGCCTTTTCCAGTCTTTTGTTCTCTGCTGAACTACCAAATGGCATTTGATGCTTTCAAAGTTTACAATATATTCGTTATTCTGTTAATCAAGTGGAGCTGAAAGACATGTTAAATGTTACAAAGCATCAAGTTCTTAAAATAGTTTCTGTGTTTAAAAGCAAAGGAAACTTAAGTTGAGACTTAACTGGAGATCAGTGCTGAAAAAGAAGATCCAGGTTTAGATATGGCTTAGGTGAAAAGCCAATTATGAGTATTTCATTGTAGCATGCACATAATATATGAGGGCAAATACCTGTTTTGGAATACATACTTGATATTGGCCATTTCTCAGAAAGCAAAGGTGAACTACTTCCCCTCATGCCATTCCCCATCAGGTAATTCAAAAACTTGAAAAAACAGCCCTCACCCAAAGAGTAGATTGTTTTCGTGGGGAGTATTAATGCTGTGTTCTGCAAGGTGCTTATACCTGCATGGTAGTCAACCTTAGTATCCAAAGACTTAAGTTAATCACAGTCAGTAGTCCCTGGTTAGGAACAGAAAGCAAATTGAAAATAGTTTTACAGAGAACTGTGGTTTAATTTCCCAATCATTGTACAGTCTAACGTATATTAACTACAAAGAGGTACTTTTTATTTAAAATTAAATTCTCTTTGAACTTCAAGTGATATTTTTAAAGCTACTTAAGCCAAATGCATGCTCCAGAGCTGGGTGCAATTTGAAGTCTGGATGATGAGTCAGAAATAGTTGGGACGTATCCTGAATTCTGAGCTACTCGGTGCTTCTTGCAAACTTACACATGCAGTAAAAAGTCAGCTTCAGCTTTTGAGTTTCCATACTGACATCTGTTAGACTGCTTCTTTTGATGTCTGAGAACAGTATGAATTGGGGGTTGCTTTTGCCTCTTCCTGCTAATAAACAGCATAATTACTATGTCAGCATTGATGTTCACCAACTTTTTATAAATTAAACCCCCTCTGGTTACACTTAATAATTACAATGGAAGACCTTTAACTCTGTTAGGGATCGAGCTATTCTTAAACCTTAAATCTGAAGTCCTTGAACAGTGAGATTCTGAACAAAGTGTGTTTGTGCTGAGCAGTGAGAGCACTGGCTTGCTGCTCTTGAGCCAAGCAGAAATGGTTACACTTGCAGGCAGAAGGCAGAGAATACAAAAACTTGTTTGTATCCTAAAGATGTGTTGAAGACAAGGGTTTTTTGTAGGTGGATGCTCATCTGCAGATAGTTTTTGCTTGACTAGAAGGTTTGCATATAGTTCTAACTTGTGTTTTTTCATCGACATTATTATAAAATCAAAGTTTTTTTGCTGGATTCTTTCAGTAGCTCTTACTTTTGTTTTCATCCTTGAGTTCTTACAGCACTCCATCTGCTGAGCATGCTGATATCATTTTGCTTTTTAAAAAAATTGTAAGCCCTGAGCAAAAAATGTAAATGTATCTGTCATGAAAGGTCAACATCACCCCTTTTCTTGCTGTTAGAGTTGATGTCAAGTGTTGGAGGTGTCTTGTGCAGGAGATGCAGGTTTGCTTTACCAAGAATTATGTGAAGCTGATGTTTGAGGGCAGCAGCTCTGCTTGTAACAACATTCCGTGACTAAACACAAGTCCAGTACAAGTCACTAGTTCTAGTTAGCAGAGTTCTTGAGAAGCCTTTTTAGTTAAAATACAGGATAAAAAGGAAAGAAGCTTAAAATACCAGCTTTCTGTATCAAACTGGACTGTGGGTAAACACACAGCAAAACTGAAAAGTAGTGTCAGTATTTCATCCCCCTGCCTCTTCTTGTTACATGGTAAGGCCAGTGGGGAAAACTTCTGCTCCCATCCTTTGTGATTACATCCTGTTGTTGCTCTGCAGCCTTTCAGTAGGAGTAATGGTCCCTGGGGTTCTTTGTTGTGGCTCCATCTGCTTTTCCACCATGTTCCAATTAGTAAAAAAAGAGCCTTTCAAGTGGTATAAAATTATCACACTGTCTGTAGTTGAGGGAGAAATCTGTGACTAACTTGATGTCTTCAGTAAAACAAAAGATGTAGAATATATTGTCAAAGGATTTAATGTTGCTGCCAGAAGGAAAACATAGAATATTCCCAATTTTTGTAAAACAGAAAGGGTTTTGCATACTTTTTACTCTTTAAATAAAGACACTTATACTCTGCTAATTATTACAAATTTCTTTTGTGTTTTGCTTTTCTTTTTTTGTAATTTTCCATGAAACAATTATTTTCTATTTTTACTCAGATAAAGTATTTGTGGATAAAATGTCAATATAGTAAAATAAAAATGTTATACAGCTAATTTGCCTTCTTAATTTTTCAGACATTTGTAATGTCTTTCAGGGACAAGCAGTTCAAAGATGCATACCTGCCCTTTATTCTCTTTTCTCTTAAAGTCAGAAACTCAGTACTGAAAGAAGGCAAACTCAGCTTACATTCTAAAGATGCATCTTCTTTGACTCAGTATTTGCCTATGTGTTTCTACTTTTAATCTGTAACTCAGTGTCCTTTATTTCTGTTGCAGCTTCCTTTAACATCTTAATGGTAAATCTCAGAATGGTGCTTAGATGAAACAAATGGTGAAAACTCAGTAGCAGGACAGAATGGAACCCTGTGAAATTATTCTGTTTATGCTTTTATCAGTGTTTAAATCAGAAGGGTTCATGTTGACCTGTAAATTTTGGACTTTTTCATTCCTGCAGATGGCCCCATTTACTTCATGTGGCTCTGCTAACAAAACTGCTAGTACTGTCCATGTTAAAAACAAGATAAAATTCTGATTGTACTGCTCTTACTTTATTTCTACTGAGACACAATTTAATAATATTCTCATTATACTTCTGGACTGCCAAATTCAAGACTGAAATATTTTGTCATCTTTACACCTACCACATCACTTTATTTTAAAATGTTTATGTTTAGCTTAGCAGCAACAACATGTAATTGATGGAAAATACTGTTTTTTAGACATTTCAGTAACTTGTTGGACCTGATGATCTTAGAAGTCTTTTCCAACCAAAATTAATCTATGATTTTAAAGTTCACTTACTCCAGTATCATACTGATGGAGGACCTATTATTTGGGTTTATAGCTATTAGTATATTTATCCAGTGTGAGTTTCTTTTGGGATTCCTATCATACAGAAATTGTTATTGAAACAATGTACGGAATTACAATTAACAGCTTACAATGTCTTTCTTAATCAAGATAAGCTGACGTGGGACTCTACTGCCTGATCAAGAAACTGTTATATGGTCCATGAACACAGGTTGGTGGGGAATATTTTTACTGACTGGACTGGGGAGTCTTGTTCTTGAAGGTCATACATATTCTTAAAGGTTGTGGATTTAATATTGCTGTGTCAGGGCTGTTAAAATATATTTGGGTTGATACTGTTTCATTTTTTTCCTTTGGAAAAGTAATTCTTAATATGAATGATGCTAAACAAGAAATTAATTAAAGGAAAGTAATTAATGATTGACTGGTTTTGAGGGTTGTAGCATGGAAGCCTGTGCATTAGATATATTATTGCTCCATTACATTTTGCCTCATTATTTCATGATTGGAGCCCACAGAATCTAATCATGCACCAAACTGAAATTTTAACATCTTGCAATTTTAGAGTATTGACATCTTACCCATTAATAACTTGAAATGAAGGTTAAAAAATGCTGAAAAGGGAGAAACAAATATTGTCTGATATTGCAGAGGTCTGATTTTAATTAAAATTACCTTTTACTTGTGAAACTGGACTTTTGAAAACAAAATTAAATACTTCTAGTGGCAGTTGTATCAGAAGATGGGTCTGGAAGCCACAGAACAGATCTCATTTACTTTGGAAAGACAGAAGAATCAGTTGTTGTGTTTGTGGCACACAATGTCCATGTAACTTCTTTTTGTAGGTATTGTGTCACTAACCAGCTGTGATGGGACAAAAAGAATCCAAAGAAGTAACTGATTGTAGTTTTAAGCAACTTGTGCAGCTACTTAATAAAAATTAAGTCAGTTTAAAAGAGAAGATAACTATAAAGAAATTATTGGAATCCTCATGTAAATAGTTACCAGACAAAGCTAAAAACTAAGCTAAATAGAACATTGGTTTTTAATAGTCCAGCAGTTCTTGACTTATAAAACAACTACTAGACATAAAATATTTTAAAATATCAGTTTTTAGTAATTTTCATGTTGCAGGAGTTGAAATATTTGTTCAGAAAAAACAGAGAAAATGCTTGTTTAGTTTAGCACAACTTGGGGGAGACTGACAATTTGTCAAAATCTTCCATTTTGTCTACTGAATTGCTTCAAGTATCTGTTACTAGTCACCTATATGAGCTCACATAATAAAAAAGTTACACTGTCCATCTATAATAGGTCTGAAATCTTAAGGCATTTTTTTCTTACCTCTTCCACCTGCCTTTTAACCTAAATGTATGAATTTAGCATTTAGGAACTGCACTTCTAGTCCTATGGGACCTACCTCTCAGAATTCACTAATCAAGGTAGAATACCCCTGTCTCAGTAGATGAAAAGCAAATTATAGGAACTATATATTAGTATAATCAATTACTGATTGTAATGGGAGCAAACATGGATGGCACTAAAAATCTGTTTCTTAGAAGATTTATTGTTTATTTGAAATTCTTCCCACTTAGAGAAACGTAATTTAGGATGAAATAATGTGAGTTAGCTGCTTCCCCCTTCATCCTGATAAGATTTGTTTTTTCAATATTCTCATTTTCAAGGACTCTGCAGGAGCTGCTCCATATGAACTGGTTTGCATAAACCTTTGGCTACAAAAGACAATGAGAAAGCAGTGTGTTTTATACACATCTCATCAGGGTGAAAGCTGGAAACCATGCATGGAAAAAAAATTAGTCTGGAAGAGTGAGAATACAATAAACGAGATTTAATGAGATTAACTAGACACGAATTAGACACCTGCAGGTTGCAGTTCTTTAAACTTCAGGGTTGAAATAGAAATGAAAGCAATGTTTTATTCCAGAAACTCAGAGCTGTGTTATTCCCACATCCTGTGGCAAGCTAGCCTGTTGGGCTTCAGCGAAAGTGCTGTGTGTTGAAATCTGTAGTGCCCACTTTGATGTCCCCAGTGAGAGGGGGTTAGGAACAGTCAGGATGCAAAACTCACTGCGAAACTCGACTTGTTCTGTGAAAAGAGCTGAGGGAGGCAGAACCAATGGGAAGCAATTTGGCTAACAACCATAAATTAATAAGACGAGCTGAACTGTACCCAGAAAGGAACTAGAAGCTGTAACAGGAGCTTGAACTTGTCCTCTGGCATAATTCACCGAGCCTGAAGTGACATTGGTACAACTGAAAAGAAAAATAATAATCTGGGGGATAGCTACAGGGTAGAGGAGTTTTTATAGAGAAATTTGTGTCTTTCTTGCTCAGCTGGTGGGTCAGTTACATCTAAAGAGTTATGAGCACTAAACACAAGATCAGTGAAACTGAAGAGCTGGGCCAGTGCAACCATGCCCAAATTAGTGTGCCCAGCTAGGAAAATGAAGTGTAGTAATTCAGCCTTTTTGCAACTGACAGAATGATGTTACAGACTGGCCATTTGCTGAACACTGCTCAGCTGCAGAAGCAGGAAAAAAACAGGGAGCTGTTATTCCTGGGCCTGCTTGTGTCAGCATGGAAAAGCCTCAACTATTTTAGAAAACAGGTTTCAACAACTAGTTTGTTACTCCTGTAATATTTTGTCAAAAGGAGGGTAGTTCTTCAAGGAGAGGCAGTAACCAGACAGAGCACGGTATCATACCAATAGGTGGTTTAGGGTACTAAACTGGCATTAAACTGGAAATAGCAATATGAATTCATTTTATTAAAACCAGGCAGGTGGCAGTAGAGTTTTGCCTTAGACCAGAAGGCAATCTAGACCATATTGGTAGGTACAAAGAAAATAGATGACCTTTGCCTGGGTGTTCTGCCGAGGTAATCAATGGATGCTGTCCAAGACTGATTTGTGTTGAGGGATCAAACATGACCTGACAGAAAAATGCTGTTGCAAGTTTATAAAAATACATAAATACATATATATAAAGATCAAGGGCTGTCCCTCCAAATTTGCTTGGTCAGATAGTATTATACGTGCTTTGGACTTCACCGTGTGGTAGAGAAAGCTGAAATGGGTGAGTGCTTTAATTTTTTGCTTATTCTTAAGACAGACCTGGCTGAAGAGAGCAAATGGAGGGAAGAAATAAAAACTTCCTTAGGGACGCAAAGCTGCTCAGAAATGCCACCTGTCAGGCTGGAGGAGTTATTAAATAGACCGCATATAAATGCAGGTACAGCACTGACATTGGCTGAAGGTGCAGGCAAGCCAGAAGAAATGGAAATAGAGCCATCACTGAGAAACAAAAATGCAGGGAAGCAAAGAATTGCCTGATTCAGCCCAAGCAGTTCTGAGAAAAGCTCAGTGAGAGCTGGAGCTGCAGGTTGGGAGCAGCCTGGTGTGCCAAAGGAGTGTCTCCTCTTGGCTCCCTCTCTCCCAGAGCCTTTCTAACTAAACCAGATGGTGTCAGGGTAGTTCTTGGTTTTACTCTCACCAGCTGCTGACCAAAGCAACTGCCATTGATTATCCCCTTGGACTTGGGAAGTAAATAGATAAATGCAGTTTTTCCTCTTATAATTTTCATCAGTGCACACCTAGAAACATGTAATCTGTCATTATTTGTTTCAGTGAAAGGGCCTGAAAAACCTACCCCGATTAAACTTTGGGCATCCTATGCAGAATTGTTTTCAATATCAGCTAACAGATACGTCTTCTGAGCAGTGATCCTGGGGAACAGGTTTCAACAGGCTGTTGTATCACAGTGTTATTCAATGAAGCATTTTAAATTACCAATTTAGGGATTTTGATCTTGAAGCCTCTGCCTGCTGGGGAATCCTGTATTTCATTATTTTAGCTGTATTTGGCCTTGTGATTACATAGGATGCTGTGGTTTGACACAACTGAGGCACCCACAGCTGGGCAGAGAAGGGAAAAGGAAAAAAAAGTGAGCAAAGAATTCCTGAGTTAAGGACCAGCAGAAAACGCTTCAAGGGCAAAACAGGCTCACCGTAAAGTTGCAAAGTGAAATTTATTACTAACAGAATCTATTACTAACTTCTCAGGATAATGAGAAGTAAAATCAGCCCTGAAAACCACCTTTTTTTCTCCCCAGCCCCTCCCTCCTTCCCACTGACAGTACAGGGAGACAGGGCATGGGGTTTTGGTCAGGTCATCACCAAGATTTTCTTCCACTGCTCCAGAGAAATGTACACTGGTAATGCTCTACACTTTTCCATTGCTTGAGCTACTGATGACAGTTTTGTTTCAACCAGGAACAAAATAGAAGTTTGTTCACTGCAGAGAAACTCACAAACTTCATACCAGCTCAATATGACTTTCACAATTAATTTGGGAATTGCTGGATCTATTTCCTTGATTTAAGCACTTTGTTCCTTCCTTTTACTTATATGACCTTTGAAAGTCTTCAGTGAAGTGGACGTACGGCAGGCAAAAGTATTCCTTTTTCCTGACAGTGTGTGCTAGCCAGGGGGTGTGCTAGCTCAGCACCTGCCTTTTTGCTAAGGGACACTGGTGCCAAAATAAGTCCAGGAGTCACTCTCTCCTGGGAAGTTTGGCTTTTTCCTTTCTTCCAAAAGACATGCTGTGTGTGCAGACTGGTTTTCAGGAGATATTTTCAACATCTTTTAAACTAGCTTGTGTCTAAGAAATGCATTTTTTTTCCCATGACCTTCAGGGCAATCAGTTTTCTGTGTGGAAAAGAGGCAATTTCCCTTTGCAAGGCTTAACTTAGGCAATGAAAAAATGCCTGTCACTTGCTGGAGCTGTAAATCTTTAGTCATTGAACAAAATCTTAATTGAAACCCTGGTTGTAGTGGTTCAGCAAACACATAACAGGTGTAAGAGAAGCAAACATAGATATTACCAAGTAAGATCTCATACAGCTTCTTTCCCAAAAGATAAGCTCAGCTGTATCTATAGAGATTTTTGGCTAAAAAAATTTAATAAATGGTCTCCTGCCCCAAGGAAACCTTTTTTCAATGCTGATCTGAGTCTCTGAGAATTTCTTTACCTATCTTTCTCTTTGAGAAGGATTTCTCCAACCACAACTATCACACATTCAGAAATACAATATGCATTCTTTCTTGTCAAAGAAGAAATCCTGATATATTTCCCACTCATCTGTGAATTCTAGAATTGTCCATGGTACTCTACAGCAATTCTGGATAGCTTTCAGAAGGAAACACAATTGTGCTTTATGCCTGGATCATATAAAATCCATTAGATTCTTGCATAGTAATACATGTTGGCAGCCTGTGACAACAATTATTACAAACATGTTGACTCAGTGTTGTGTTGTAACTGCTTTGCCTTTTAATGGAGAGCCTGTAGTCTTAATAATAAATTAAAATACAATTACTATCACCAGAAGGACCAGGAATGAAACATTCTCAGCAGCCAGTCCTTCAGTATGAGTGCTGTCACCTCTAGCCCCCATAAGAGCTGATATTGAAGCTTCATTCCTTTATGATTAAAAGGGAGAACTCCACTCTGTCCCTCAGCTGCACTGCTGTGCTCCACTCCTTCTCATTTCATCTATGAAGAATTTACAGTGACAGGAAATAATTAAGATATCATTTCACTGGATATTAATCTTGGTAATGCTCTTGAAGAGGGAGGTCAATGCTTGCTTTCAGATTATGGAAAGTTACAATTTTCTTAGGATTTTTTGATTTCAGAAGAACTGAGGTGATTTTCCGTGTACTGTATGGGGAAACTTACTTTTGAGTGGAAAGCAATTTCTTTTTAAGAAGTCCCACTCCACTACCAGCATTTCCCAGTTGATGTCACCCTGACAATAGATTCAAGCACACCAGAGATCACCAGCACTCTTTATAAAACCTAGTGATTCTCCTGAACAGGGACAAGACGTCCTGGGGTTGCAGGAGGTGAATGCATTAACACACACAGCAGAGCTGA